AATTTATTTTAATCTACAATATATTGACCATTAAATAATATGACGTTATTCCCATCTTTCCACTAACTGCATAATGCCATGTTCATAGAATATGTGGAGTTTATTGTTGAAAAACTGACTTGGAGCTAGGTCTGGTGAATAGGGAGGATGGGACAAAAGATTCCAAAGCTCAATGATTTATTACGTTGTCTTGTTGGAACACAACACCTTTCTGATCATTCATAACTCTTCAGGATGTTCTCCAAATTCGATGTTATTATATCCGTTTCAAAACTGAATTATTGCTCTTCAAATCCGTATGATTGTTTTTTGTTTTTTTTCATTTAATGCCTACGTGAGGAATAAATAAACAAAAATTATATATAGCTTTTTATTTTTTATCTCGATTCATAGTTTGTTTACGAATGTCCTGTTGTTGTCATTTTGTGTAGTTTATGTGGCCCTAAATTCTTGCTACATTTCTTCTAGATAACTAAAGTCGTATTGAAGTTATAATATTTTTTGTGATTTTCGAAAAAAAAAAATCATGTGAGGGACCTAAACATTAAACGTGGACACATAGCCGAGCTTGTGCAAATGGTTTTCTACGTTTGTGTGCGACACATTTAGTCAAAAAATGTTTGAATCCACTTGATTTAGCTTTTTCGGTCGGTACAAATAGTTTCATTTTAACATTGTACTCATATTATACTTATATGCCAAATATAATATTGATACAATAGGTCTCTACAAAGTAATATATGCCGAATATAAATACAATGAAAATATTTTTGTAATATATAAAATATTATAAAACATTAAATATTATAAAATATTAAATATTATAAAATATTAAATATTATAAAATATATATATAATAAAGCAGAAATTGTGTACTGTTTGAGTTAGTCGAAAAATTTTGAATTCACCATAAGATCTCGATCCGTCGATGTGCCACAATCACATGGTTTGAAACCTTCCACTTAAAAATTAACTTGTATTTAAGTTGTAGTGTTAAATTAAAACTCAAAATCCATCACTCCTCAGAGCTGGAAAAGGTCTATACGAGTAATTATGTCTGCAAAAAAGATCTCGACATCCCATCGAAGTATTTTGATTCATAGATATAAGAACGTAACCATTTTCCCCAGGAAAGTTCATAGTATATTCAGTATAAAAGACCGTGGAGTTCATGAGATTCACTATTCTTTACAATTTTTTTTTAAGCTGAAGTTCCCCTCCCTAAAATGGCAAAATATAACGATGTTTTATGAAAAAAAATTATCTCTAAAAGTATTATTATTGTTCGTCTCTTTACGTTTCGTAGGGCTTAAAGAATCACTTAATCACCATTTTATATAGGTACTTAATTTATTTATTTCTTCCGATGTAATTATCGTAATATATACATACAAAAAAAATCTGGTGCGCGCAACACATAACTTTCACTTACCGCTCTAATTTGAACTAAATACCTTTGAATACCTAAATACCTTTGAAACATCTTATCATAATATCGACAAAAAAGTGTATACGTTTTGAGTTATTCGGAATTATCCCTCGTAACTTTTCTTCAGCTTCTTTTCGTTGAAGTATGTTACATAGATAAATTTAAAGGGTGTCGAGAAAATGACTTTAGCGAAGTTTCATTGAAATCGGTACATTCGTTCAGGCTCTACAGTCTATAGCGACGCAGGTTTTTCTGCATTTTTATTTTTTTTATCCTTTATTAACTTTTCAAAATTTATATTTATCATTTTTTCGTTAATCTGAATAATGTGAAATGATTATCTTTTTAAAATAAACCATATTAAAGGTACTTTATAGGAAGACGTATGTGAACATTGAGCATTTAAGCCCTGTAAAGTGACATCAATGGGAATAAGAACTAATTGAAATTAAAGATTACTTCATTATACAATGATACACCGAGTTTAATCAAAATCATTTGAGCCTTTTTTGAAAAAAAAAATGAGTTTCAGCGTTGATATAAAGTGGCACTTCCGGTTAGCCGATTTTGAGGAAAAAGTTCCTGTCACATCTAAGGCATATACCTATCTTAAATACGTACTATCAGTTTCGTACGACTTTTCGTTTTTGAGCTAGACTGCTAATATACAAACACACAGACCATTTTTTGGGACTTGGTCATTTCGACTCAGGGTACCTCAAAACGTGCATTTCCATTGAAAACTCAGAGTCAAAAATTTTCTTGATCGCAATACTTACTCTTACTATATATTACATATTTACGCAAGCGAAAGTAAAAATCTTTAGGGCTTAAATCTCCCCCTCCCCCATAAATTAAGTTCTGGATCCGATAGTGTTTTTCTTAATATTTTTATTCATCTTAAATAGTGACGAATCAAAGAGATTTATAAGTTTTTTGATAAGTTTGTCCTGTTGAGAAATACGAATTTTTATAACAGCAGGACTTCGAATGTACTTTTTTTTTTTTTTTTTTATATTATATATATATATATATATATATATAATATAAAAAAAAACAAAAAAAAAGTACATTCGAAGTCCTGCTGTTATAAAAATTCGTATTTTTATAACTTATATATATTATTATATATATAATTATTATATATATAATTATACTTATATATATATATATATATATATATATATATATATATATATATATATATATATATATATATATATATATATATATATATAAGGTATTAAACAACTTCTATATTATGGTTTGAAAAAAAAAATGAAAATGGGAGGAAAAAGCTAATGGTGGATAATATTGTAAATCAGAAAGCTAGGAGGAGAGGAAACAATGTATCTAACAAATGGAATAAAATGAATTGCCTGGCTGGTTGATTTGCATGCTCCGGTGCTGCTATCTAGTCTTCACACCCCAAAGGATGAACCCTATAATTCTCTCCATTATACCTTCCCAGCCCCTTAACTTTTGTTTCAACCTTTGTTAATTTATAAGTCAACTAATGAAACATTTTGAGGCTATTTGACCCACATATTAAATAATTAATTCACGCATCAACTGGTGTATTTGCAAATTAATTGTTAATAACCAAACGATCTCTATTTTGATTAGGTAATATTAATAAAACATTAATTCATAACCATCTTGAATGAAAAATAACAAATATACGTTAATATTAAAATTATTTTAAACGTTCAAATAATATATCATTCGACAGTCTCTTTTTATTTCATCTTTAACTATATATTATTTCTCAATGATGTTTTTACTTTCACTTACGTATACATGTAATATATAGTAAGGGTAAGTAAAGCGATAGAGAAAATTTTTGAATCTGAGTTTTCAATGGAAATACACGTTTTTAGGTTCACTGAGTCGAAATGTTTTTTTAAAAGTTTATGGAATTTCCTAAAAAAACATAAAAGAATCATTAAGATCGGACAATTAGGAGGAAAGATATGGTCTCTAGTTTTTTTCGCTGAAGAGGCGAACATTTGGACAAATTTAAAATATACTTTTTTAATTGTTGAGAGGAAAAAAACCTTTTTTCTACAGATATTTAATGAAGTATCTTTCCTAAGAACATTTTTCATAAGAAATAAGTACCTAAATTTATACCTTTATTCTCAGTTCTATATTTCAACACTGCAATCACCATCTCCGGAATCAACTTACTCATATTCTGCATAGATAATTTTTTCAACTAAAATGACATCACTCAAAAATGTTGAAATTGGAGTTAGTCATTCTGAGGTTTATAAAAGTAAAGAAAGTTGTGTGGTTTATAAAAGCAGATTTAGTGACTAGATTTTTATTGCCTGTCGCCGATATATTAAATAGATATTTTGTAATTATAATGGTCTTAATGACTTGTTATCTGTAAGCTTTAAGCTTTAGCTCCGTTTAAAATGCACTTCAAAAAAATTTATAATAGCCCAGCATTGCCAGAAAATAATTTCTATTCATAGTAGATCGGTAAGTGAAAGTTGTGTTGCGCGCACCAGATTTTTTTATTAAGTGTTCCATATCTTCGTCAATTCTTCATCGAATCTAATGATTAAGCAATAATTTTGAAAATCTTTTCCTTCAGATGGGAAATATAGTCACATCCTGCTGAAGTTTTAGGAAAAACGTTATGAAGGAAAAGAAACTTTATTTGCAAATAAATCAACAAGTATACATTTTGTTTACTAAATTCCCTACAAAAAAAATCCATCGAAATCGGACCATTTTTAACAATGATACAGCTGCTTATTGTTGGTTTAAAACATGAATGGAGTTTTAAAATAATTTTCTTTTCCTTAATGAATTACTATTACCGAGAAAATAAGAATGGATGTCATTGTCATTTGTTCACTTTCCGAATTATTCTCACAGGCCAACCAGTATATATTATTTACATTTAAAAAAAATAAATTAAGGTCAAATATAATCATAAAATTTTAAAATGTAAATAAAATATATTTAAAAAATAACGTTGAATGGTATATAATTAGAACATTTAAAACAGTCTGATACTACATAATTATTTTATTATTATTCTACTCTGATAAAATGAAGAGCATTGGATTAAAGTTTAAATTCGTCTGTTACTAAAAATATTTTTTATATTTCCTATAATTCATGCTCTTAAAGAGCTGTTTATAAATGTTTTAATCAGTTTCTAAAGTTCCCTAGTCTTTTAAAAATGTTACTCTATCGTGAATAATATAAAAATATGATTTTTTATGATTGTGTAAAAGTTTATATAATTTATTCTCTTAAAAGAATCTTCATGAAATCCTTTTATGCATGAAGAGTACATTTGAAATACTATATATATATATATATTGATAATAAAATCGAGAGACCAACTCATAATTATAATTTATAATAATCATTAATAATACTTAAACAATAGTAGATCGATTAATGATACTACATTTAACATTTACTTTTATCTGTCCGACATGTTCAAGATTTAATCTATTAAATATATAATAACTAATAATAATAATAAATATTATTTCAATATAAGTTTGAGTAACTTAATTTTATTTATGATTTTTTTTTTTAGATGCCGTTCTTGAATCCAGCCAGAGCTTTGGGACTAGCTTTTGTTCTCAACAAATGGGAAAACCACTGGGTAAGAGTTTGTATTTATTAATTTAAAATATCTTTAATTTAAAGATAATTAATTTAATTATCTTTAAAATAATTATTATGTATATCAATTATTTGACAGTTATTCTATTATTAATCTAATTAGATATTAAAGTAGATGTATGTTTCACTCATTGTGTACATATATAAAATGGTATTTAAAAAAAATTAAGTTAATTAAACTTTTTAAAAAAGTTATGAGAATTATTTGACATTTATATTTGGTACTTATTTAAAATTTAATTTAATAGCGTTCTCTTATGTTTTTTTATACACCTCTCATAGCCCTAGTGAAGAAGTGTTAAGTTTATAGTTCTAATTTTGGTAGAAAGAAATTTAAAAGTTTGATTAGCACCTTGTGATTTCAAGTTTCAATACACTCATATTCATTCCTATCATAAACCTAATGACTTAGTTATTTGTTTTCGACAAATTTATTTTAATTTTAAGTCTATACTTTATTATGCATCAGTAATGTTTAGTTAATCAATTTTACAGTAAAACTTTAATTTTAAAAATTAATTTTTTACAGGTTTATTGGTTTGGACCGATTATTGGAGGTCTTGCGGCTGGTCTCATTTACGAATTCATTTTCAATCCCAGAAGGCATTTCAAGAGGTCCAAGGATTCCATTGATGGAGGTTCGTAGATAAATTTTAATTATAAATATTTGATTCATTAAATCAAATAATGGCAAAATATAATTAAATGATTATATAAATAGGAAAAGACAAAACAGTTCAGTCCTTTTTTCTCCTCTGTTTCTCGACAAACTATCTTCTTTATTTTTTTGTTTAATAGCTATTGACGAACTTTCTTCTCCTTAAAGCTCTTTTTAATTTATGTGTATTGCTCCCTGTATTCCCCAACAAAAAGCTGAAAAAATGCAACTAAGGATTCAGAATTTTATTTGTGATTAACTGAAAAATACACAATTTTTAATGATGTAGAGATGGTTTACCGTTGATATAATATGAGAAGGAGTTAATCAGGGGGTGCGGTCAAATAAATGCTAAATCAAAATATAGTAATTATTTTAATTTTTGCCGACGTTTTGACCCACTTTGCAGGTCGTCTTCAGGGCGTAGGATGTAGCACTGTGGGAGGCAGTTGAGAAAAAAAAAAAAAAAAAAAAAAAAAACATTTTTTTATTTAGTATTTATTTGACCACACCCCCCCCCCCCAATTAACTCCTTCTCATACACAATTTTTAGTTTATTAAACCTATGGCTATTTGAAAGCTTCCTGAATCCCCGACAAAATAATAAAATAATTATCGAAATCGGAAAGAATCATGTCCAATATTTTTATTGCATTTTTAAAAAAAAAAATTCAGTTTATATTTTTTTGAGAGCTCGATTATGACAAATTTATAGTATGAGATAAATGTTGAAGTGAAGCAATTTGTAGCAAAGGAGTTAAGGGGGTTCAAATATTTGTTTGAAAAAAGTTACGATGGATTCAGAATTTTATTTACAAATATAAAAAAGTACTGTTGTTTTGTATTGTAAATATATATATATAAACATTTATTTGAATATTTAAGAGCAGAAAAAAAATGTTGCAAATATGCAGATTCGTTTGTTTCCCTCAAATTTTCAACGTATATGGTCAAATTTCGATCACTAGTATAAATAAATATATCTATGATGGTAATTACGATAAATTGAGCTGTTTATTTCCTAACTTAACTTGTGGAATAGTTTCCTTACACTGAAGGAACACCAACATATTGAATTATTTTCTCCATATGAGTAAGGAATAAATGTTTTATTTTTATAATATAATTTGTTTTGTATACTTTCTATCAATAATATAATCGTATCAATTGCTTATTATTACAGATTCATCGAGTATTCATTCAGATGAAGATACCTACGATGAACTCGACAAACCCAGATCAACTTACAATACCCTGAGACCTGTTCAGCCTGGTGCAGACGTGTACAGACCAGTCGTCAACTCATCCTCTCCTTCAGGTATTCATTTAAATTTGATATTTTTAAAGACAATTTGTAGTGTTGTCGCATAGGCACCGGCACTGGGGGAAAGTGGGAGGGGACAAGGCATTTTCTGTTCCTCTGATATTATATGCCTTTCTAATATTTTACAATCCAATTTTTAATAAAATAACTCACAAAAAGTTCAATAAACTATAAAGATAATATTTATATTACAAATGGGTCTGTATGCATGATTCACATATTTATTGGTCATTGAAAAAACATTAAATGGAAATAAATAAGTAAATGTATTCTGAGAGGCAGAAATTAATTGTTTTTTTATCCTTGCTCGATTACAATGGTTCATTCCCAATAACAAAACAAAACATGTGTACAAAATACAATTTGGTACATATTTGCTAAAAGTGTTCTGATTGGGATTTTTTTTTTGTAGAAAATTCAGAAACCTTTCACTTGCTATATATACCGTTAATTGTGTGCAATTACACTTTTTGGAAATATCAAGTAGAATATGTAAGGCGAATCAGGTATATTACCAGACTACTAATAGCATTATCGGCCATCGCGAAGTAGACAAGAAGACCAAAATGCACGTATATAAGTCTGTTTACCTACCTACACTCACCTACGGCGGAGAAAGCTGGACAATGCTAGACAGGCACTCTAGTCGCATAACGGCAGCAGAAATGAGGTTCCTTCGCAGATCTGTTGGCAGAACTAGAAGGGATCGCATTAGGAATGAAAGCATTAGAGAGCAGCTAGGAGTTGCCGAACTTAAAACTACTTTAGAAAGACGGCAACTCCAGTGGTTTGGACACGTCTGCCGCATGAATGAGAATTTGAATCCTATAAGGATATTAGAGGCTCGACCCACAGGAAGGAGACCACGCGGACGCCCCAGACTCACGTTCCAGGATTACATTCAAAGGATTGGATGTAAAAGAGGCAAAACCCTTAATGAGATGAAGCGACTAAGCAGGGACCGGGAAGAGTGGCTGGAATTATGTGCAAATGAAGTTTCATTGTCTTCACAACTTTTTTCCCTAATTTTTCTTTATCTTCACAATGATGGCTTAATCATTGTATTTGATAAACAACTAACAACAGTATGGTGCACTGAAAAAAAGAAACACCTTTGAGAAGTAATATTTTATCGTAATGATGTTCTATCTGTCACAGGCGGATCTACGGGGGGGGCTTTTGGGCTGAAACCCCCCTCTCCCCCTCCCCCAAAACAGTAAAATATAATCTCATTTTACAGAAAAAAATATTAAAAACTATCTCTTATAGCATTCTTGTTCGTTTAATTACATTTAATAGGACTTCAAGAACCACTTAAACACCATTTCATATAGGTAGTTAATTTCTTTTTTTTTTTTCAAATTAATTATCGTTTTATGTATATGAAAAAAAATCTTTCGGGCTGAAGCCCCCCCCCAAATGGTAAAATATAATCATGTTTTACAGAAAAAAAATATTAAAAACTATCTCTTAAAGCATTCTTGTTCATTTAATTACATTTAATAGAAATTCAAGAACCACTTAAACACCATTTCATATAGGTAGTTAATTTGTTTCTTTTTTTTTTCAAATTAATTATCATTTTATGTATATGAAAAAAAATCTTTCGGGCTGAAGCCCCCAAAATTAAATCCTGGATCCGCTAGTGCTGTCTGCTCCTTTCCCTCACTTGCGTTTAACACTTTTAAGATTTTACACTAACCTTCGCCCACTCCCTGATATATCCCTGATAAGTGCCGGCGCATTGATATTATATGTAGACTAGTTTCTTGCATAAACTTTCTTTAAGATTTAAAATACTTCATTTGTAGGTTCATTTTTAGATAATCTATTATATTCTCCTTAATGAGTTATTAATATTATCTGATTTAGACTATTTTGAAAATATAATTTTTATTAGAATTTAACAATATTATTATTCTTTCCAGGAGGTAATCAATCATACTGCGCCGCTAACATGGTTCAGGCCAGCCTTTACGCAGCACCTCCTTGCAAGCTTGACAGAGTCGAGTCGTTGTATGGTGGCACTAAGTCACTCTACTGCAAATCACCGCCACTCACAAGAGCAAACCTCAACCGATCGCAGTCTGTTTATTCCAAGACAACGGGCCCACCAATGCTCCATAGGAACGACAATGGCGTACCAAGGCCAGGACCTCTTATCCCTGCTCAGAGTATGTACCCAATGAGGCTTAATTCCAATGGAAGTGCAAACTCTTCTGCTGCTGCTAATCAAAACCAACAGAATCAACAAAGGCTAGGTACTGAAGGAATCTACGGTACACGAACTGCGAATGGTGGTGACAGAGTATACAGGAAACTACCCGGTCGACCAGAGTCTGTCTATGGGCAAAGGCAAGAACCGTCAGATGGTGTGTACCAATATCAGCAGCCTCCAGCTCCAAGGGGTGCAGCGAACTATGCTCCTGTGCCGAAACCTGTTCCCGCTTATCTGCCAATGCAGCCTCCGCAACAGAGGCCAGAAGATGTAGGAATCCCTGCTCAAGCTCCTCCTCCGTATATACGTAGTGAGCAACACGAGTCTCCGAATCCCCAGCAACAATCTTCACAACCTCAAAAACAACAGCAACAGCAGCAGCAGCAGCAGCAACAACAGCAACAACAACAACAACTCCAACAGCAACAACAACAACTACAACAGCAGCAGCAACAGCAACAATCACATCAACATCCACATCAGTTTAGGGAATCACCTCAGCAACAGTTCAGGGAATCGCCTCAACAGCAATTCAGGGAATCCCCACCACAGCAGTACAGGGAAACGCCTCCTCAGCAGCAGCAATATAGAGATTCGCCCAACCCTCAGTATCGAGAGTCGCCAAACCCACAGTACATCCACCGACAGGAGCAGCAGGCCAGAGACTCGCCCAGCCAGCAATATTGACCCAAGTACATCTATTTCCCCAAGTCAATCAGCGCCAGCAACGTGCGCTGTTTGAGGGTATAGGACCAGCTGGACCCGCAATGGGTTCATCACAAAGACTGTTTTGAAATAGCATTATAAGGCAGCTAATTTCAAATTCCGAATGACTTAATACCTCTGCTAAATTTTATATTTTGCAAATATTATATATTAAGTTATAAAATAAGGCTTTAATCAAAAAATATTATTTATACATTCCAAAATTACATTCTTATTACTTACTTAATTGTGCACTATAGTTTTTCAAATGGATCTATATATTAAAGTTTTTCACCCCTATTCATTTGCAATTCAGATTTCCTTAATATTATCTTTATTCTAATAAAATGCTCAGTCATCTTTTGACCAAGCCTTATAAAAAAGAGAAGATTGTACATATGTAAAGTTTAGAATTTAAGAAGTATTTCTAATAAAAGACTCAGGCAGGGAAGAAATGATGATGTTAAAAGAAAAAAAATATATAGATTATATTTAGAAGAAATGATTAAGATGAAAGAAGATTATTAATAATTTATTATTTGTTGTTATTGCATATTCGCTGTTAGCTAAGAATTCCTTTATATTTTTTATAATGGGTTTGATGGAGTTTGATGTTTTGAAAAGTGTTTATGTCAATAGTTGTTTGATATGAAACATTGACGTAATTATTGTATATAAGACTAAATGAGTATTTGACTCTGTTAGTGATTGTCGTATGAAGACAATCTTTATTTGTTGAGGAATTGTATATAAATCATTTTATAAAAATTAATTTAAAGAGAGCTTGTAAATATTACCTTAAGTGTATCTTAAGTAAATCAGAGAGAGGAGCAAACTGAAATACCATTTAGTAGATAAAAGAACCAAAGTTTATTTATTTATTATGATAAATAAGCCAATAGTAGGCCATAATTGTTCTTTGATGTTGAGAATTACATCTCTTAACTAATTAAATTCAATAAAAAATTGTTTTTTATAAATTGTATTTATTTAGCAATTTACCTAACTTATTACATTTATCAAAATTTTCTTTTGTATAATCTCTTTTATAGATTATTTAGTATTTATTAAATATTAAGATGTTCTGACTAACAGATTTCAGATCCTGGTGTTAAATAATAATTCATGATACTTTCTATAGCCTTTCAAAAATAAAATGTAAATCTTATATCATGTATTGTATTTATTTTTAAGAACATTTTTATTTTACATAAAAAATTATGTCTGGAAACAAATAACAACAGTGTACTGAAGGGAAAAAACATATATAATTTTTGCTTAAAAAATATGTAGATACATTTTTATTCCTTACCAGTTATGTATATTATATTATCCAACTTTTATAAATAAATAAAACTATGAGATATTTATTCATTTATTTTTATATTGCCCTAAACACTGCACTAATTTTACTTCACCTTATATGAAAGATAAATGAATAAATAAAGAACAATATATCGTCTGTTTATTGCAAAATATCATTAAATAACATTTCATAACCTCAGATAATTAAGAACTTTGATGAATTTTCTCTTTGTGTAACAAGACAATTGTGCACTTAGTGTAACTGTATATGATAAATAAAAGGGTGTGCGTTATTTAAATGCAATTTTAGTGTTTTTGCGTTTGTAAACCAAATCGAATTTAACAAAAACAAATTTGAAAGTTAAACTATATCAAAATTTACTTAGTGACTTTTTGCAATAAATCCATGATAAAGTGGTCTATATATAGCTTTAAAAATAAAAATATTTATTTAGAGCCATATATTCAGTAGTATTTATTTGAATGACATAAAATATCAATTTTTTTTGGTAAATGAATGGATTTACTTTTATTTTTTTTAAGCACTTTTTCACTACTGTGGTTATCCTTTTGCAGTTAATGAAAAATTTTTGCAGTTATTTTTTCATAAAAGCTCGAAATTTGAATGTATATTAATTATTGAAAGGAATTTTGTATCACATTAAGATTTTTGAACTCTTGGCTTTTTAGAAAGTAGTTCATGCTATTTTATAGAAATATTGGGTCAATAATAGGTCTAGTGGTTTCTAAAAAAAAAATCAGTTCAAAAAAGCCTATGAGATTCTACATGGTCAAGCTCGAACGAAATAGATAATCATGAATAATTTAGGGTGATAAATATTGAGGACACAGTCATATTAAAGGTTTTTAATGGTGTCAACGTTTCAACCCAAACATGTGGTTCATCATCAGGGCATCATCATTCGAACACTGAAGGTATTCAAGTATTGACTTGAATAACTTCAGTACTCCAATAATAAAATCCTTTAAAATGCCTGTGTCCTGAATATTTATCACCTAGGATATGTACAACTGCCGACTAACTTCCTTCAATGAATAGCTTAGGAAAACTTTTGTCAAATTAAATAAATAAACTTTAATGACTAATTTATTTCATAATAAAATGTTCTTGCATTTTCTATAATTTTAACTGCCTCCTAAAAAGGGAATGATTGAAAGGATGTCATAACAAATAAATATGTGAATAAGATATTTAGCTCTTTCATTTTTCATAAAACAAAAAGAATAAAACTTATTTACACTGAAAGAGAGAAACATCAAGTATAACTATAAATATGAATTAATAATACAAAAAAATTAAACCAATAATACAAAAACACACTAACGCTAAGCTTAATCTACACAACTCTTTGCACCTCCAATCAGATCAGTTAGTGTTAATACCAGCTCATTTTTTCATATCATTTGATAAAATCTTTTATTTTTTTATGGACCTACAGATAAATACAGACATGTCATTTGGCCAACAAGGCAATAATACAACCACTAGTGACGTATCTACGAGAGGGGAGGGGTTCGAGCTGAATCACCCCAAACAATTTTTTTTTTTTTTTTTGTTTATTTAATGGAATTTATAACTGTATACAAATACAACAAGTAAATATGAGCAAATATAAATAATGGCATGTACAGGCTTGAAGAGTTACTACCCAGTGGTAGCACTCTCTAAATAATTTTAAGTAAGAAGATCACTAGGCCATCTCCTTTTCAGACGCCTAGGAGGATTATCAGGAATCGAGAAAGAAGCAAGAGTGGAAACAAGCGGATTTTAACAAAATTTAAAACTGGAAAAATAATTTTTTTTTCATTGATCCATATTTGTCACTATGAGTGATCTAAGCTTAATCCTTGAATGATCAAAATGTGTTTTTTTTTTTTTAATTTAATGAATTGAAAATATAACCATTAATTTATATTATTAAAAAAATTGATCTCTAAAAGTATTATTGTTCTTGTAATTATATATAATATATTTTTTTCATACAGTTTCAAGAATCACTTAAACATCATTTCATATAGCTAGGGTAAAGTCAAAAATTATTGACACTTTAACAAACTGTTACAAATAATTTAACAATAACTTTTTTATTAATTAACATATCTGTATGTTTCATAGTTTTTCATAATATTCCAAGTCTATTCTACAGATTCTACCCAAATTATAATCGTAATAATAAATAAATTATAATCGTAATAAACTCCAATTCAGTGGACTCCGATTCAGTATGGTATCCTGCTTTACAAAGTGTCTGGGACTGCCCTTAAAGTATAGTATATGACTGTATATATTTATAAAACACTATGGAAAAGTGATTTATTGATGAAATTTAAATCTTCTTCCATTTATATTACAAGATTTGGTTCTACCATGAAAATAGTTAATTCCTCGATAGTTCTCATGTGGTAAGTATAACTCGAAGGAAGCAGAATTATAGTTCCGACCTTAATTTTAGTCCATTCAAGTGTTAAAGCTGTTCCTTTTATTATAATAAAAATACAAAGAGTGCGTCTTCCACAGATGGAGTAATACTGATCTTTAGGGATCTGAAAATTATTATAATCATCACATTTTCACCTTAACATATTTATTACTAGATACACATTATATCGCTTTAGTGTATTATAAATATAGTTATATTACAAATCACACTTACTATCAGTTTAGACAAGACATATTCATCCTCATCGCAGTCATAAATGGTAAAGTATGGCTCAAAGCGAGGTTCAACTTTCAACTGGTTAATCTCAAAAGATGTAAAATCCCCGTACTCTATAAACAATGATAACTCTTTGTTTCCAGAGGTAAATGTAATAGGTATGTTATTGTTGGAATTCGTAGTACATTCAATTGCATCTATGACAAATGATTGGAAATTTATACTTAATTTCACAATAAGATTCAGTAGAAAAAAGATAGTACTGTAAAATTATTGCAATAATAGTTGGCCCTTGTGAATAATTCACAGAAAATTTGTTTAGTAAAGAAATAGCAAAACAATTAGTAGATTCTATGTATTATGTAAGGAAGGAATCAATAGTTTTTTCTTTGTCGATTACAATATTCCATTTAACACAATAGATCAAAATATTTATACAAATTGCTTTGCTAGCAGCTATTTTTAAACACTGACTGGAAATAAAAAAGGTAATAAAGACAAAATAAAGCCTCGATCATGGGATTTTCTAAATTATTAAAAAAAATAAAATTTAAGAACAAACAAATGGCTATAAGAAATAATAAAGTTAATATATTAGCCAGGAAAAAAAAATTGTAGTAGACTATTCTATTCCTAAATGCAATATCTTTAAAGAGGAAGACATTATTAAGTATACCAAAACTAATAGACTGCATCTTTGTTAATAATTGTTCGATTTTTACCTTTTTTTTTTTTTTTTTTTTGTTTTGTAGGTAATTTAGTAATCTTTCTAATTATCATAGGTACAATCTAGAAAAATGCATACTTTTTGAGTTATTCGCAAATAAAGTTTCTTTTACTTTATAACTTTTTTTCTAGAAATTTCGAGGGAATTTTTCGCATGTGAAGAAGAAGAATATCTTCAAAATGATTGAATGTCATAGTCGTCATGGCAACGACTTCACTTTTCATTATGATGTTTTTCCTTGCCATTAACTAAAACATTCATAACTCCTCAGAATTTTATCCTAATTCAATGTTTCTACAACCGTTGGAAAGCTGAATTATCGCTCTTCAAGGCGATATAAATAACTTTTTGATTTAACACGTCTATAGAGAGAAAATAAATAAAAACTAAAAATATCAGGTTTTTATTTTATAACTTGAGTTCTAAATTATTTAGGAAGGTACAGTTTGTGTCATTTCGTGTTATAAGGCCTTACATCCCTGCGAAATTTCGTGTAAATAGGTGGAAGAATATTGAACTTATAAAACTTTTTGTGATTTTCGAAATAAAATCAAAGTGTCTTAGGTCAAATTTGTAGAAACAAATATTTTTTTTTCGATCACAATGAAAATTCGTATTCGAGGGTCTTTCGAGCTGCGAAATACAAATCTCAACTACGTTTCTCCTTAAAAAAATATTTCCACACACTTTACTCCTTCCGTCTATACAAATTGTTTAAATTATACATATTTCTAATCAATTTTTACGACATTTTTTGTAGATAATTTAGTAATCTTTCAATTTACCATGGGTACAATCGAGAAAAAAATGCATACTTTTTGGGTTATTCGCAAATAAAGCTTCTTTTCCTTCATAACGTTTTTTCCAGAAATTTCGAGGGGAATAGGACTATTTTTCGCATGTGAAGGAGAAGAATATCTTCAAAATGAGTGGATTATTAGATTTTGTGAAGAATTGACGAAGTCATGGCGTACCGACAAAAAAAAACCTTTTATAAATAATATATAGGATTTGTCTATCCTGGAACTTTGTATAGGTAAAAATATCAGTTCCCGAAACCATAGAAACAGCTGATTCTATATCGGAAACATTGTTGTATGATTAGCAGGCAACACTGGTTAATAATGGTGTCAGTGTTCTACGTGTGAACAGAGACAACTGTTACTGATGATTTCACTACGGTAGTTGCTCAGAATTTGTACAGTTTAAGGACTTTGTACTTTATTCCATGTACTTTATAATAGAAAAGAATATTTGTGAAAAGAAACTGTGTGGTTATAAAAGTTATGCCTGGCCAGGTAGTATGTCATAGTTATTAAGTTTGTTAGCTATTAAATCATGTATCATTCATTTATTTGTCTGTGCAGGAACTATTCTTTTGTTATTCCGTTATGTGGTTATTATTAAATGTTCTTTTATCAGCTATTTGTATTTATATATACAACCTTGGTGATGTCATTCAATAGAAGTGAAATATAGAACTGAGGTTAAATGTGAATATACTTCTACATCCCCACCAAATTGTGTTGGAGAATTTAAACACTCATTTACTGGCAATTTTATTAAATAGTTAGTAAAACTAATTAAACTAAAGAAGAACTCCGCTTATCAGGAATCACTATATCTGAAATTTAAATTATTAAGATTTTTTTATTTGTTTTCTTATTCGCGAAAAGGAGTTGATTCTATTAGTAGCCTCGATGTCAACCTTGTTTCAACTAATTGAATATCAAGAGGGCAACTGATTTGGAGTCACTTAGCCACTAATTTAAAACAAGATTGTAAATTTGATATAGAATACATCTTTAAACTATTTTAAAATTCAAATTTGAGTACTGAAGAAATTACTAAGAGTGAAAAAATATTTTAATACTCACCTCCGAATAAAAATGAATATGGAACCAACGGTCGAATATAAATAGCCTCATCTTTTTCCACAGTAAAATGATTCAAAAAGAATATCATAAAAACCCCAAGATCGTAGGGAAATAATTTATGTATTTTTTCAACTAGTCCTAAGATATGATCTTCTCGTGTGATATAATCTGAAAAATGAGCAATTATAATCATATAAGACAACAGGAACATATACAAGGGTTTATAGAATACTGATACTAGTATAGTAATAGTAAATGTATTATACTTACGAGGAAACCTCACATCGAGCAGTCTATTCATAAGGGAATGACAAGAACTGCCCTTATGATAAAAATAGATATGATAGACACTAAGATCATTATATACTGGATACACAGCCGGATCTACGGGGGGGGAGGGTTTTCGGGCTGAAGCCCTCTCCCCCCCAAAATGGTAAAATGTAACCATTCTTTATGGTAAAAAATATTAAACAATGATGTCTTTAAGTATTATTGCTCGTTTAATTACATTTAATAGGACTTCAATAATCACTTAAACACCATTTCAGATAGGTAGTTAGCATCTTTCTGTTTTTCGAAATAATTATCGTTATATATATGAAAAAAAAAGCTTTCGGGCTAAAGCCCCCCCCCAAAAAAATTAAATCCTGGATCCGCTAGTGACTGGGTACGTAAGGCCTTCCTTGGAGTATGGAATTACCAGCTGGTGAAACGCTGCACCCTCGAACCTCCAGAGGATCTCAATTGTGCAAAACCAGGGGCTAAGTATTATGACAGGGCCTAAGAGGTCAACATCTATTAAAAAAATGGAGTCAATTGCGAAACTCTCCTCAATAAAGGATAAGAGACATGTGAAACTCCTGCCCCTAGATGCAAAAGCAAAGTCTGTTCCAAATCATCCCTTTCAAAAAATGGGTGAAAGAAATGAATATAAAACGCCAAAGCATACTTCAAAGAACTACACAGCTGATATGTATATCTGAAATCTGTGAAAAACAAGTGTTTGTAAGAAGTTTAAAGGAAATTTAAACCGCCCTGGTTTGAATTTCCGAAAACAAACATTGTTCTTTCTATTTCTGGTGTCAAAAGCAAGGAGAATATACCACTCTTGAAATCTCTTTCACGCCAACATATAAATACTAAGTACCCGAAAGACTCGTGGACTCGGATATATACGGACGGATCGGACACAAATGCAACTACAAACGGTGGGGCCGGTATCCATTTACAATTTCCTGCGGGGAATATTATTGAGAAGGCTGTTCCACCGGGCACGGGAGAGTCTAGGAGGGGGGGGGGGCTTTTGTGCTGAACTCCCTCCTCCCCTCCTCCCAAATGGCACAATATAACCATGTTTTATGGAAAAAATATTAAAAAATTATCTCTTAAAGTATTGTGGGCGGGGTGGCCGAATGGGCTAACGCGTTGTGCACAGCACCACTGTTGCCCGGCAACCTTAGATATGACAAATGTTATAAAAATAGTCACGAGTTCGCGTCCCGGTGCCAAGGCGTCTTTTAAATCCCCGCTCACACCCCCTGGCCCGGGAAAACCCCGTATAGTCTTAACGGAGTGGAAGGGGGAGGACCCAAAAAAAAATTCTCTTTAAGTATTATTGTTCGTGTAATTACATTTGAAAGAACTTTAACCACCATTTCATATAGGTAGTTAGTATCTTTCTTTTTTTCCAAAGTAATTATCGTCATTTTTATGAAGAAAAAAAAAAGCTTTCGGGCTGAATCCCCTCCCCCCCTTCCCAAAGTTAAATCCTGGATCCGTTAGCGCCAGCGGGCATACTTCTTCGAATTATCGGGTAGCAAGACGTTATCTGTGAGGCGTCGAAACTGATAAGGATACTAAAGGGAAATAAAAACTCAAAAATTGTTTTTCTTACTGAGGCAGCGTCAGTGTTACAGACATTTCAATTAATCGGCTTTACCCGAGTGTTAAAACTTGGAAAATCTGATGGATTAATCTAATTCGCTCTCCACAAAAAAGTACAAGACGCGCCTAAAGAAGTTTTCACTTCAAAACTTATATTTAAAACATAATAAATAGTACTTTGGCGTAAACAATAGTTCTAGTTTTCTTCGTGTGGCGCTTGTGAATTCATGATTTAATTTTCTGCGTGGGGAGGGGGTTTGTTTTTCAGTAAAGATTAGACAGATTATAATACCTCGGCTTCACAAAAACCTCAGTGAATGACCAGCGGTCTGATATAGACCAGCGCATAAAAAGCGCTAACAGAACTTCCTTCTCTTTTTTCTAAAGTTAATAAAATTGTGATAAACCTCATGTCTGATAGACGGCAGCGAGGGTACTATCCAACGCCATAGAAATTAGTATTGAAGGATTTGAGAAGAAAATCCTTTACATGAGAACCGGAGCGAACTAGATCAAACTAGTAATCCCTGGAGGAAAAGGGCCAATAAAGAACTGCTTACAGAAACTAGTTAATCAATATCTTATGATATGAAGACAAGAGACTACAAGGAAGACTAAATAACAGATGGAATGATCTAATCAAACAAAAATAAATAATACAAATTTTCGAATCTCTTATAAGTCATTCTTACCTTCTGTTTCCATTCTGCTAAAATATTTATTGATCACTTCTGTCAATTTATCCTCCTCAGTGTTCATATAATACTCGACAATTTTTCTGAGGTAATATGATTTCTTTGTTCTAAAATAATCTTCCAGGAGTTTTGGTTCAATAAGTTCTTTCAATTCCGGAATATCTGTAATTAAATATTTATTTCTTGAGTACAAAAAAAAATGTATTAAGTTTCGAAATAAAATTTAATTATTGAAACGATCATTTTCTTACATATTTAGTCCAACGTATGATAAAAAAAAACTCAAATTAAGTGTCATTAAAAAAATAATTTCATATTTGCCTCTAAGCAAGGAGCTGTGAATGTTTTAAAGAAAAATTGATTTAAGTTTCCAAGCGACTAGGTAGCTCAAAATAATCTTTTGTGACAGGTTTTATTCTTTCAGCAATGTATCTGAGATTATGTTTGAATTTCTAACATGAAAGATTCCTTATTGCTTATTGATTATTCATTGACTCCAACAGCGAAAACTGGAAGAAAATGTAAGAACATTGAGTTTGGAGAATGATGTGAAACAACACTGGTGCCGTTTCAGATTCTGTATCTAGGAAGCGGCAAGAGAAGTTTGTGTTATGCGCAAAATACCAAGCAAACAAACGCGCACAGAGTAGCGGAATGAAGAAGTATCAGCCTAATTTAAGAATAAAGCATGGAACGCCTCAAGACGAAATGCCAAAGAAACGAAACCAATACCATTTGGCCAGAAACCAAGGTAAGTGTCCATCAAGCCAAAAGAGCTGCATAGGAAGAGTTTGAAGAAAGACTCGATGGAAACCATCTTCAGAATATTAAGAAATTCTAGGGTAAATTAAAGACTGAAAGGGAAATAAGTAAGCTAGTGAAAAATGTCTAAGATACAAGCCATGATCATAAAAGATTCTAGGGTGGTTTAGCCAGTTCTACCAATAACACTTCCCAGAACGAGCTAATGACTTAGTAGAAATCATGCGGAGAATTATTTCTTGGAAAGGCCATAGAAAGAGGAGGTAGATATACGTCAACAAATAAATTAAAATAGAAAGGAAAGGCATAACTCTAAAATCACTTAAATTTGGAGGACAAGAACTTATAACATTTCTCCAAAAACATCTGAAAACAATATTGAACACAAAGTTCATTCCAAGGGATTAGAAGTTCAGCATCATTGTACATATTAATAAGAATAAGAAAAGTAGTTCCAATATGAAAATTACAGATCTATTACTTACTAGATTACTTTCGGTGGCTAACTAATTATGTATCTCAATCACAGAAAGGAGACCAAGGGCCGAAACCAAGAAACAAATAAAGAATGAGTAGATTTTCGTCCAGAGAGGCAGCCTCAACATCATATCTTCGTACTAAGAATCAGTGCAGAGAAAGCATGGTACCGAAACAAGAACCTGTATATGACAGTCTTGAATCTAAAAGCAGTGTTTGACTCTGTTCCTAGAAAAGAAATATGTAATGTTTAGATGGCAAAAAAGGTTCCAGAAGATCTGATCACAGCAATTAAATCAATCTATCTGGAAACTAAAGGAGTTGTAAGGATCGATGGAAGATAGCCCATGGCTATTTCCATAGAAAGAGGTGTGAGGCAGATGTTAATGATTCGATAAAAAGGGGTCTGTACCACGGACTATACTTTTTGTTTATTAACAATAGATGAGCATAAATAAATGAATTAAAGCTGAATGCAGATAAAACCAAGACTATTATCATCGGGTCAAGACATCTCATTAGTTCCCTTCTTTACTTTCCTCTACTTAACCGTCCCATCCATTTTTTCCTTACAGTCAAAAACCTAGAAGTAACCTTTGACCAGAACTTCTTCTGGAATAACCAACTCTCCAACCTCCAACCTCTCCCAAATTACCCGAACATCCATAACTGTCCTTGAACAACTCCTAAGAATCCGTGATTGTATTCCTCTAAAAACCAGACAGCTCCTTGTAACCTCCCTTGTATTCCCCCACTTCGACTACGGCTGTTTGGTGTACGGAGGGCTATCTGCCAGACTGGAAATGAGACTAAAGAGACTCATGAATTGTTTCATAAGATACATGTTCGGGATCCCCAGGCGTTCACATGTTTCACTATGGTACACCGAGTTGAAGTGGCTTTATCCTACTTCCCGACAATTCCTCCTTGTTGTTTTGCTTTTCCAAGTCTTCAGAACCAAAAACCCTCCCTACATCCTATACGCTCCTCTATCCACTCTCTCAATACTAGGTCTCAACCTGTAGACTTATATATTTCCTCCCATAAAACTTCCTCCTTCAGCAAATTCTTCGTCATTCGTGCTGCTTCCTGATGGAACTCAATTCCTACCTCCATGCGTCAATCCTCGTCCACAAATTCCTTCAACTCCTGTTCCAACACCTACTCCACATTCAAACTTCTCCTAACATGTAAAATTACTTGCATCTGTACAATGTTTAATTTATATCTATTGCACAATTGAAATAACAATTAACAGTAAATTAGTTTGTATTTTGATTATGTCAGATTAAGACCCATAAATTTGTAACTCTGTTATTATTCTTAGGGGACAGTAGTCCCAGAATAAAATTATGTTTTCATTTCATTTCATTTCAACAACAATACCTATACATTACCTCAAAGAGATCTTACTTTTTAGGAAGTACATTATTTCATTTTTCGGCCTAAATCCTGCCATGACCTCGAAGTCGGACAAAGCGACGACCATCACTGGTTTATGCATGGGATCAGGGTATTCTGAAGGATTGTCGTTGTGTAATATCGACGCCAAGCGCTGCGAACAGTTTACAACATGATGTGATAAAAAAACCTTTTTTCATATCTCGTTGGAATAAGTCAAAATAAGAATACTTCATTCGGATGCATCATCATCGACTTTGGCCTTGCAATCGATAACACTTTTAACAAAAATGGCAACTTGTCTTCGAATAGGTAACTGCTTATTCCTAAGATGTGCGGGTGCTGTGTAATGATTTTCGATAATTTTTCCTTTGTTTTTCGCAGAATAGCTTCTCCGTTAGGATTGGTCCCGATCCAGAGTTCTGCGTAGTGTTTGTCCGATGTTTCATCAATTTTTCTTTCCTTGTTTTTCGGGGTCCAGTGCAATGTTGACACGATGCTCGCACCTCCCAACTGACCAGTTTCAAAGGATTGAACATAACCTCTCAGCTCCATTTAACTATTTTGTAATTTGTTAAGCAAACTAATGATAATAATTATTAGTGGTAGACTATCCAGATGTTGGGTGATTGTCGTTGTATTTAATGGTTTCATATTGATATTTTGTTTATTTGCCTAATGTTATTATAATAAATAATTCATGATGAATATCCTTAAATAGGATCACAATAAATTCACTGCGTACTAACAGAATATGTTGCTTCTCTCTTTTTTCCGTATTCTAGAGTGGTACACATATTCAGTAGCGGATCGAGGATTTAATTTGGGGGGGACCTTAAGCCCGGAAGCTTTTTTTTTTCATATATATAACGATAATTACTGTGGAAAAACAGAAAGATACAAACTACCTGTATGAAATGGTGTATAAGTGATTCTGGAAGTCCTATTAAATGTAATTAAACGAGCAATAATACTTTAAGACATATTTTTTACCATAAAACATGGTTACATTTTACCATTTTAGGGGAAGGGCTTCAGCCCGAAAGCCCCTCCCCCCGTAAATCCGCCTGTGCACATATTTGACGTACGTGCGAGTATATGTCCTTTTTTTTTTTGTTTTGAAAACACAGATTCTAATTTTATTGTACACAATAATAAAACTTTAAATTCATCTTTCTGTCTTCCTCAATTTCCATCTAGGTGTCATATAGGATTGAAACTACGTGAGTTGTTGCCTTCTTCTCCTTGGCTTCTTCTCCTTCACCTCTTTGACGTGGGGTCGGATATATCTTCTATTTCCTTCCACCTGTACATGAAGGCTTCGTAGTTATGCTCCATAACTATGACCTCGAAGAAAGTTACCACTTTCTACAGAGACAAGTAGAGGACAATCATTTTCGCCGGGGCTGTAGAGAACAGTACTCCTCTTTAGCTTGCCTTTAAGTGCCACAAATTCAGTGCAATTAGTGATCACACGTTCGTCAGTTTCCGGAACGCCACAACTGCAGCTTAGAGATCGCGGTATCCTTTCCAACATTGGGAAACTTGGCACAAAACAGATTGGACTCGCTTCTAGTCGAGGTTTAACGGAGAAGAAGTGCTTCCTTAGAGTAGCCCCCTTAGTGGTAATGATCCACTTTGTGGGCGGGGTGGCCGAATGGGCCAAAGCGTGTGCACTGCAACCAGATATATGAATCAAAGATATAAAAATAGTCACGAGTTCGCGTCCCGCTGCCGAGGGAGTCTTTTAAATCCCTGCCCACACTCCCTGGCCAGGGAAAATCCTGTATAGCCTTAACGGAGAGGAAGGGAAGGACCAAAAAAAAAAAAAAAAAAAAAAAAGGTAATGATCCAACTGCTTGTTCAATTCCTGAACGGTGGCAACATATCTGGTACATTACACCAACATATTCTGTTAGGCAATTTTTAGTCCCAATCTTCAATTTTACATTTATGTATCTATTTATTTATTGTTTTGTTGCCTCTACCCGGAGGGTCATTGGTAACCCCTAGAAATTACACTGTGTTGTAGAATTTTATCGCTTTTAAGAATCTTAATGTTTTTTAAACTGCTCTTTCACTGTCTTGTAAATTTTCTTTTAGGCTTCGTGCTTTGTTCAATTTTTTCTTGCAGTTTCAAATATAGGACAGTTTTGTGTAATATGCTTTACTGTCCTTTGGACATAGCAGCTCTCGCAGGTGGGAGGATCAAGTACTCTTAGTAGATAGGCGTGTGAGAACTCACAAGAAGTCTCTTTTCTAGGGGATCGATTCCCATTTTAATTTTAATCCTAACAGTGGGTTTTAATTTCTTTTAATTTCGATTCTTTTTGTTCCCACTTGTTTTGACACATGTTCTACACATTCTCCTTAATTTTTTTTACGTAATCCTCTAGAGGGATTTCATTAATTGATTCCACGATTGTTGTTTATAGCTTTCTTGCCATGTTGGCTCCTTGATCGGCATGTTCATTGGCGGTGATCTCGCAATGCGAAGATACCCAAATGAACACTACTTTGCTCTTCTCCTTTAGTAGCTACGAAACGTTTCGTACATCTTTTACGAGAGTGGTTTTGGGTCTGGTATGTTCAATGGCTAGTAATGAACTCAAAAGTCTGTCACCACTGCCCAATTGATAACTTCTCTGTCTCTATGTGTTTAACAGCTTCCCTAATTGCTAGCATTTCACCAATAAACACTGAACAAGCCTCCGGAAGTTTGAATAATATTTGAATATCAGGATTTATAACCGAACATCCTACTTCCTTAAGCAGACCCTACACGGTAATTCATGAATGGACGTCACAAGAAGTGCCGAGATTGCCCCTATTCGCTTTGATCTTGAAGACCCCTTACACGTCAATCATTACTGGATCATTACTTATGTGAAGTTTCCATTTTTTTTTTCTCCTCCTTATTTATTGCCTACTTGACTATTTAAGAAACAAATGAGTTGAAAATGGTTACTAATAATATTGTCTAGGGATATAAACAACTATCTTTACTTTTATGAATTTTTACTTAATATCGAGACCTTAGGTAAACCTATTCTATCTAGTGTAGGGTTAGTTCATATCGTTGTTGACAAAAGTTAGTCAAATATAAGTCTACTACTTACAAAAATTAGGAATGTATTGCGAAAATAATGGGAAAAGAACTGTAAATATAACAACGTTAAAGATTTTTTTTTTCCTTCAAGTAAATTGTGACGATTTCCTCATTTTTTTTTTTTTTTTTGTTGCCCACTTTGGACTATTTAAAAGAAATAGTTGAGATGGGTTTAAAATTATAACAAGGGATATGTTAAAACTATTTAAACTATTTTATCATATAATGAAATCAGAAATTTATAATGGTTGTGAGGCCTAGGTAAACCTAAAACCTATCCAGTGTATGGTTAGTCTCCCCACTACTTTTCCCTCAGTCCCCCCTATCCACTTCTCGTGAATGAACCTTTGATTTTCGGATGTTCGGAAATCCGCAGCGCACCTCCCATCAGTACTTCACTTCACTACACTTACACGACAATTCGGAACGTCATTAGTGCATTTCCGATTGACCGTGTAGGATCCCCTTAAAGCTCATAAAAATATAAATAAAACACATGATTTCTTCCAGCCAATCACACTGCAGTTTAATGAATAGTAAGCGTTATATAACCTACAAAGCGTCAACGTATAACCTCATAGCGTCCTGTAACTACACAAAATTTTCTTCTCAACTCCAAAAGATTATCTTAATGCCTGATGAAATAATCTGAAAATGAAAGTAATCAGTCGTATTTTATTTTAAAAAGAACAAAATCTCAATAATGGAACTATGGGGTGAAATAGCTTTAGATGATTGGGGCAAAGTCGGCCACAGAAGTAAGGCTGGAATCTATTACTGGCATTCGAAGAAGAGGGATCTCATAGATGAAGACACCTGCTATTCCACCGTTATCTTCAGCGGGAACAAGTCGGAAGGCCGCTGCCCGACAACCATAGCGTCCAGGTATGAAGCCCTGTATTTGTTCATAAAAGACAAACCGCAAGTTCTCGGGACCAGATGTGCAGCAATGCATAACAACCATTTGCCATTCCAAGTCAAGATACGATCTCTGCGGAAAGCTATGCCATTGGCGTGCCACCCTTCTAAGGTAAGAGCTAAGAGTAAGCTACCAAGAGTATTGGGGGAGTAGTTAGACCCACTACTCAGGGATGCCCAGAAGTGGGTTTCATGGCGCAAATTGGACCATCAAAATTTTTGAGGGGAGTTATTTTGACAGTTTTTTGTATTTTTCCGGACTAAGGGACAAACGGAAATCATGGAACAAACTGCAGCAAGTGTAATTGTATATGATCTAAAATTTTCCTAATTATATCTTAGCTTGCTTTATTTTTAAGAAAAAGTGACGAATAAAATATCTTGGGAGAAGGGGGGTAGGTTCTTGCGCCATCGAACTTAGAGGGAGGGGCACCCCGGGAACTAAGAGAGTAAGATATGTGATATCGATGTTGATATAATCGTAATACATTTGTTTAACATTCTATATCATGATATCGATATTATACTTCCGAATCAGCATCTCCTCGCCTATTGCTTTCCAGTTATCTGCATATCTAGGTAGTTCTAAAGCGTCTTTGTCGATTTCATCTATCTGATTTTTACCTACTATTGAGGCATTCATTGTTGCGTGGAGGATTTCTGATGGATCGCTTCGAACTACATACCTCATCCATCTCAACCTCCTTGCCTTCTTATCATGAGATATTAATTGACCTATTTTTGTAAACTGTTCTTTATTGATCCTTTTCCTCCATGTGTTAGTACTCTAATCCGAGATCGCTTTGGGTATGGTCCAAAGGATTTTCTTCTGAAATCGTTCAGCGCTTCATTCTAGCATGCTGGATCTACAGGTTTCAATTCGAAAACATGGAACAGATCGCAGCGAGTGGAATTGAATATGATCTCCGATTTTCGTAACTATACCTTAGCTTGCTCTGTTTTTAAGAAAAGGTTAGCAATAAAATATCTTGAGAGGAGGAGAGTGGGGGTAGATTATTGTGCTATCGACCTTGGGGCGATGGGCACCCCTGCCTAGTACACTTATACGTTGATGTTTTTGGTTAGGTCCTTTATCTGAAAAATATTTTTCATTGACCAAGAGCTCCTGTCACTGTGCCTGTTAGGCGTGGATGAGGTCGGTGTTTTAGACCTCAGCTCTAAATAACAACAACAGGTTACTACCACTAGTGTTGCCCAAATGCGAGACCGAGAGGAGTCTTGGTCTTGAAAACTCAGTCTTGGTCTAGGTCTTGGTCTTGAGCAAGACTCTCGTCACAATCTTGCCGTTACCTATTAGCTTATTACTGCAGAGATATTACTGTAATTTTTTAGATAGGGGAAACCTAACTAAGTCTGAATGAAAAATTAGAAGAGTTAAATGCAAAAGTATATTGGTTATATTAATTCTTTACATAGTAAGTTTAGTTAGTAAAATTGTCAAGTATTATTAAATATTTTGCCTCAATTTTTATTCAAAAAATCGATTTTTTTACCAGCCTTGGTCTTGGTCTTGCAGCAGAGGGGCGGTGTTGGTCAACACTACCTACCACTATTCTTCTTTTGAATTCGTCATTTATTTCATTATTCTCTGAGATATAAGTTGTCAGATATTTAAACGTTTATTGTCGAAATGGTACCCTATTCCATACATGTTATTATTTCCGTCTCTATATTTCAAGGTTGTCATTTATTTACAGTTGGATACATTAATATTCATGTTTTAATTTTTCGCTGCTTCTTCACTTTGCTGGAATGCTCGGAATAAAATTTGCTGTTCAGTCCGTAATAACTAGGTCGTCAGAAAAGTTCAATACAAGTACTTTTTTAATATTTTACAATAAAAAATTTCATAGGCAATAGGTTATATTCTTCCAATTCGCTCACAAGTACTCACCGTTGCCATGCTTTCCGAATTTTTTTTTTTAATTAACTCCAAGATTTACTATTTACTTATAAAATATATGACACTATATAGGGGACCCTACACGGTCAATCGGAATTGCACTAATGACGTTCCGAATTGTCGTGTAAGGTTGTGAATGAAGTACTGACGGTGGTGCGCTGCGGATTTCCAAACATCCGAAAATCAAAGGTTCATTCACGAGAAGTGGAGGGGGGACTGAGGTAAAAATAGTGGGGAGACTGACCATACTGCTGGATAGGTTAGGTTACCAAGGCCTCACAACCATTATAAACTTCTGATTTTCATTATATGTAAATAGTTAAATAATTTTTCGTATCCCTTGTTTATAATTTTAAACCATCTTCAACTATTTCTTTTAAATAGTCAAGTGGGCAACAAATTAAAAAAAAAATGAGGAAACTTCATAATTTACTTTAGGAAAAAAAAACTTTATCGTTGTGTATATTTATCAGTTCTTTTCCCATTTTCCTCAACAAATTTATTATTTTCGCAATACCTTTCCTTAATTTTTGTAAATAGTAGACTTATATTTTACTAACTTTTGTCAAAACGATTTTCTATGAGACTAACCTTCTATGAGACTACTACTAGATAGGTTAGTTTATCTATGTCTCGTTATTAAGTAAATAGTTGTTTATATCCCTAGTCTATATTATTATTAACCATTTTCAACTATTTTTTTTTAAGTAGTCAAGTAGGCAATAAATTGGAGAGAAAAAGTGGAAACTTCACAATTTACTTATAGAAAAAAAATCTTTAACTGTTGTGTTTATTTGCCATTAATTTTTCCATTTTTCTTAACAAATTGATTATTTTCGCAATACTTTTCATAGATTTTGTATGTAGTTGACTTATATTTTGGACTAACTTTGGTCTAAACAGTTTTCAGGCACTAGGAAGTAATTATTATATCTCTGTTTTTCTCTTGATGCCCAATATTATAAATGACAATGTCCAAATAAGCATATCTATGCTGTTTTTTTGTTTACAACTGCGCTAAATTGGTCAGCAACGATCTAACCTAAAACAGCAACGATAAGTAATGATCAGCAATGATTGAACGTGTAAGGGTCTTCATGATCAAAGCGATAGCGGGCAATCTTGGAACTTCTTGTGACGTTCATTCATGAATTACCGTGTAGGGTCTGCTTATTGATGTTACGATGTAAGATAAAATCCCGTTGTATATACTCTTTATTATAAATTCAATATTATTATATATTTGTTTAATTTAATGAGGTCGTTTTTATATTAAAATATCGTTATTTCTGTACTGACGACTGTTTGTTGTTTTTGTTTTTTTCTGTAGGCATTACAGACCTTATAGATATTTTGTCGCCTTAACAAGTCTGTTCCATCTCTGCCTGTCTTGGGCTATTTCTTTCCAGTTATCTGCATGCGTCTCTGTTGCATCTTTGTTGATTATATCTTTCATTCTGCTTCTTCGCCTTCCACGTGGTCTTTTGCCTTCTATTGGTCTTTTGGCATCCATTGTTGAGGCTTACAATTTTTTATTAGTGTTTCTTCTCCATATGTTAGTACTCTGATCCCAATTCGCTCCGGTTATCGTGCGGAGGATTTTTATCACATATCTTTCAATACTTTTTTCTAGGGAACTGGTTAGTGCCCAGTTCTCACAGCGATATATTAGAACTGGATTTATCGTAGCATTGTACGCCCTTAATTCGAGATTTTTTGGGATTTCAATACCTTTGAAAGGGAGAAGAAAGGTTTGTTTAGGCTAGTTATACGCTGTGGAGCCGAGGTATTTGAATTTTTCTAGTTTTGGGAACGATTTCCCTTCTATTGAGATCCTGTTATTCGGCTGGAATTTTTGCCTTATTATCATATATTTTGTCGTCGTATATGATTAAATTATTGATATTAATAATGATATTTACATCGATGTTTTACTTTCAATATTGAATCGACGGTTGCGTAAAAAATTAAATACCAGGCTTGCAGGAACATGCAGAGAGGTTACACCGTTTGGATCCAGAGAGGTACCGCTGCGATGAACACAAACCGAAGTTAATAGTTGCGAAGCTCAGTCTAGAAATGTTGGCAGGATTTAGACCCAAAGAAGAAATTTTTTCTTTTCTGTCTGGTGAGAATATGACCATTTATCTTTTTGTAATATATATCAAATAAATTTTTATTGAAGAAAAATAATACAATCTGCCACAATCTAGGCCATTGAGCATTATGGCTCTATGTTTACATTCATATATTTTATATACAATTTAAAATAAAAATTGAGAAAAAAAATAAAACAAGAAGTAAAAATATATAATTTAAAATTATAGAAAAAAAAATACATTCAAAGAATAGTAAAGAAAGGAAAAAGAAAATACACATTCATCCCTATGTACAATATTTACATTCAACCTAGGCAACTCCGAACAATGCCTTGCCGCTATCGTGAAAGGCAAGGCAGGGCTCAAGGAGATCCCAGCTCTTCTATCCCGACAGCATCATTGTTTATTTATCTTTTAGTAGAAATATAAGCTGAACAATATTAGGACACAGTAGCCAAGCGGGTAGAAAAATCCTCTTCTCTTCGGACAATTCTGATGTGGAATAAATTAATTTTCTATTACCTTATCGCACTTATGTCAATATCGTACGGTATAGTCAATAAAACGGTTTAATGGTCGCTAGTTGTAAAGTACGCCGCACAATGAACTAAATCGCTTAAGACTTGATCGGAAATATTCGAATGCACATTTTAACTTTTTATCGTTGAAATAACTTTTTTTCCATAAATTACTAACAATTTAAAGTATTATTTTTTTAATAAAAAATGATTTCCTTATCTTCCCAAAACTTAAATAAGAAGATATTATGAGTTAATTAATTCTTAGGAATAAATATATGATTATAATAACAGTAAGCTATTCGAACAAATCCAGGAGGAACAATCTACAATCGTCTGTCTCAAAATCTAGTACATGCCGATGATGTGGCCATTATTTTTAAAACCATGCAGCATTATCAGGAACTTTCCAGTAATTCGAAGAAGCAGCGGCTAAACAGAGCCTTAGAGTTAATGGAATTAAGACTGAAGTGGGTACGAAAATAGCTTTGAGAGATCACTACTTTAGGTCTGTTGACCAGTTCAAGTACCTTGGAAGCCTGGCCACATGCAACAATAAAATAGAGAATGAAATAAAGGCCAGGATTGGAGCAGCAAATAGAAGCTATTTCTCATTGCAAAGAGGCTTGAAATTTAGATGACTCTCTAAAATATTACTAAAATAATCAAATTTTTCATCAACAAAACTATAGTATGGCCAGTAGTTATGTATGGATATGAGACTTGGATCTTAATAAAAAAACTCAGAACGCACGCTCAACTCCTGAGATAGGAAAGTATTGAGAAGAATATGGGACGGAATCTTTGAGAATAGAATTTGGAGAAGAAGAAGAAGAAAGAATGAGGAGTTGCGGGAACTTTATGGTGAACCTGATACTGTTGTATAAAAAGAGCCATAATCAGATGCTTAGGCCATGTTGAAAGAATGCCAGACCAAGGAATGCCAATGGAGATGCTGCTTGAAAAGCCGAATGGCAAAAGAAGTAGATTGCGCCCTCGGATCAGATGGCTGGAGGATGTGGATGCGGCTGGACGTTCGATGATGGAGTGAAGTAGCACAAGACGGTGGAGATTGGTTGGCTGTAGTGGAGGAGACCCGGGTTCTTGCAGGGCCATAGCGCCATTATAATAATAATAATAACAGTAAGTGTTTTTTTAACCATAAAACTATAAAATTAAATTTGTCATTATCACTGATTGAATCATCAGAAGTTTCTTTCACTACTGTGAGTATTTCTTCCCTAAGTAAGGGATGTTTCAGAGGGTCTAAAGGTGCGTTTAGACATTTCAGAAACTATAGGAAATACAATTATCTAACAGCAGCATCAGCACTGAACTAAACTGGTTTTTTTTTTTTTATCTTGTTTTTTTATCTGCAGGGGAGGCTTTCGGGCTCTCCTCTCCCTCCACAAAATGGTGAAATGTAATAATATTTTATGGTAAAAAATTATCTCTTAAAATATTAATGTTCGTGTAATTTACATTTAATAGGACTTGAAAAATCACTTAAACACTATTTCATATAGGTAGCTATATATATCATATATATCTTTCTTTTTTTTCCAAAGTAGTTATCTTTATATATACGTGTGAAAAAAAAAAACTTTCGAGCTTAAGCATCCCAAAATGAAATCCTGGATCCGCTACAGCAGATAAAAATTATCAAAAACAAGAAACAAATACACTAGCATAGGGAAAAACCATTTAAATACGTGTTTTTCATAGTTTATGAAATGTCTAAACTCACCTTTATTTATTTCTTTTCTTCTCTCCTTGCCTCTCGGCAATACACATTTTTTACATACTTTTATTACTTATCCTCTGATTCTTGGATCTTCGTTAGTGGAGGTTGAAATGACCATCCTCCCACCAACTCCTTCCAGCAACACACGAATACTTCATAGTACGGATAATTATCCTTACTTACTAGCTGAGGACAATCGTTCTCCGTGATGACGAGTCCGGTTTTCCTCAGTAGTTTGGCCCTTATTGGATCAAACGCTGTGCAAGTCGTGACGATATGCTCAGCAGTTTCAGGAACTCCACAACAGGTACATAGGATAATTTCTTTCCTAAATGCATGATGCTTGGCCCTAAACCACTCACGCCCTGTGAGGAATTGTCTAAACGCATCTTTATGGTGTTCCCTAAAAACATCAAAAGTTTTATTATTACTATTTTGTTTTTAACTCACCACTCAGAAAAAAAATCTACTTTTAGTATTTTATTTTATTTTGCTTGTCGGAAACCTGATTATTACTTTCACATACCTATATATGTAATATGAGAAGGAGTTGGTCGGAGGTGAGGTAAAATAAATTCTATAAACTAAAACAGTACATTATTGGTTACGCTGACGTTTCGGTCACCTTTTATCATGGTAAACCATTATGTATGTAATAGTATTGCGATCATGAAAATTTTTGAATCTGAGTTTTCAACGGAAATTCATGTTTTGAGGTCCACTGAATCCAAATAACTAAGTCTCACAAAATGGTCTGTGTATGTATATGAACAGCCTAGCTCAAAAAAAGAAAAGTCTTATGAAACTGAAATTACTTATTTGAAGTTTTTATAAGCCAGGATTGTAACAACATTTTCGTCAAAATCGGCAAACCGAAGTGGTACTTTATTATATTACCGATTTAAAACATTTTTCTCAAAAATGGCTCTAACGATTTTGATTAAACACAGTAAATTATTGTATTACTAAGTAGTTTTTAATATAATGTAGGTTTTGTTCTCATTGATTTTCTCTAACAGGGCTAATTTTACTGGCTAATTTTCAATAATGTCTAATTTGCCTTTATTTTTTTTTTATTTGAAATAATTAACAATTTCATATTAATCTTTGCTATAAAAAATAGTTAAATATAAAATATGAAAGAATTTTAAGAGAAATAAGAGATCGTAACGAATAATAATTGTAATGGAGGAACCAATACAAGCGAGCCTCAAAGATTAAAACAGGCTTCCATACATAAAGAGAGCTTAATATAATACGGACTCTGACAATGTTATGTATATATACATATGCGGTTTACATAAATGCTTTCGTTGGTGATATTTAATATTTAATTGTATAATTTACAGCGTTATAAAAATTAAAATTTATATATATAAGGGTAATTAAACAAATCGAAATACCCACAATGAAATGGAAATAAATATAGCGTCTATATTTTTTTCTTTCACTTCTCTTTTGTCTGAAAATACTTATTTCTGCTAAGGAGAGAGTATGAGGCGCGCACCAGATTTTTTTTTAGAGTTATTTTAAGTTTCATTATTAATTTTTGCCCAAATAATTTATTTTAATTGTTTTTCATTGATAGATATACCAGAGCTCGCCATTGTGGTCCCTTACGTGACCATTCAAGATTATCTTTACAGTGGAAAGATAATGCATCTTAAGCGGATGCTATACTTCTTAATGTCGGCGACACATCAGGAGATGAAGCTTTCTTTGGACATTTTTTTCGAAAGGATGAATAAAGCAGGTATAACATGATATTTTTTGCATGATAATGATATGTATTTTACATGAGAAATATAATGGACAAGTACATGATAGACTTGAAAATGGCTGGACGAGCCGAAACGTCATAGTAGGATTTTCAAGAGAAAACATCTGTATAATGTTGGCTTAAATAAAAAACGCTGCAAATTATTTCTCAATGGTTTATTATCTCCAAATAATTATACATCTAAAGTAACATTACCTTCCTAGTGACAAAGAAAAAGAAATAAAAAATGATTCCAATTATTGGACTTAACTTTCTTTTTTTTTTTTTTTTTTTTTTTTTTTTTGCAATCTCTGAACTCTATTATAAGTGTCCTTAACTGTGACAAATTGTAATATTTCTGAATAAAGTGTTTTTAATAATAACTTTCTTTTTTTTAATCATTAGTAAAATGCTAAAAAAACAAAAAAAAAAAACATTGTTTTATTAACACATTCAAAAATATAAATCGAAAACAATGGATAAATATAACCTTTGAAGTATAACCTACAAAAAACATCTAGAGACCATATCTTTGCTTCTAATTGTCTGATTTTAACGATTTTTTTAGGAAATTCCGTAAACTTTTAAATAATCATCTACTTTTTGTATTACGGAATCTAATACATTATCTACGTTATACGGAATCTAATTTTACCATCCTTCGTAATTTTTTTTCAGCTTCTTTTCGTTGAAGTATGTTATATAGATAAATTTAAAGAGCATCGAGAAAAAGACTAGCGGAGTTTCATTGAAATCGGTTTATTCGTTTAGGTGCTACAGTCTATAGCAACGCAGGTTTTTCGGTCACCATCTTGAAAGGAATAGACGGATAGAAATGTTGATGAAAGAGGATCATCCTCGGGTGACTTCTGATTTAAAATCCAAATTTCAAAAAAATCAGTCCAGTATTTCGGAGAAAATGCGCGGACGGACAAAATGAAATAAAATGTTAAAAAAACTAATTATTTATATACATATTTACAATTTTATGAGAGCTGAAGTGATAAGAGGTGATAGAACAGGCGGGATTTAAAGGTCTGGAGGGTATTGGAGCGACGGATGTAGGATGGGATAGAGTTCCATAGGGATGTGGATCGAATAATGAAAGATCTGTCGAAAGCAGCGGTTCGGTGGGATCTGAAGACCGGGAACGGGTTTTACGGGAGTGGATAGAGGATTTGAATTGAAGGAGCTTGGAGATGTATGAAGGACGGCGGGATTGGATAACTTGGAAGAGGAAGTATGCTAGGAAATACTTGCGTCAGTAGGAAGGATAAAGCCATTTCAGCTCGGAAATAGAGGCGTCCCTTGGGATCCCGAAGATGAATCGTACAAGGCAATTTATCAAACGTTTTAGTTCCCCGGAGACGCCCCCATATACCGTACAGCAATAGTCAAAGAGAGGTAATATTAAGGAAGTAATAAAGAGTTTACGGGTTTCAAATGGAAATAGGAGGCGGAGGTAATGTGATCGTTGTAAAATGGAAAAGACACGGCGTTGAATATCGGATACATGGTGTTTCCAGGAAAGGGTTTGATCGAAGGTAATTCCAAGGTTCTCAATGGTGGTGTAGAATTTGATGGGATTATCGTGCAGGAACAGGGTTGGTTTGTTAGGAAGAGTTTTAAGGAGGTGACTGGAGCCTATCAATATTGCCTTGGGTATATATGGGCTCAAATGTTTAAAGAACAAAGTTGTTTATGGGTGCCACCAAGGAGAAAACTATTTACTGGCAAAAAAGATTTTTATTTACTCATTTTTTTGTTTTTTCACTTATAACTTCTGAACGGCGCATTCAAGCAAAAAAAAATTCACTCTTTAAGAAATTAAATAACGTCAAATTTTGCGTCTAATAAGTATCTATAATCAACAATTAGATTAAGTGATATTATAGAAAAAATTCGTCCAATTAACACTTATTATTATCTAGTTTGTTAAAAACTAAGACAAATGACTATAAATGGGTCTGCTTCTTGGAAATAAGTTCTTTAAGAGAAAAAAACTTATAAAATAAAAGTTGTAGATCATCAAATTCTGTATCCAATAAGTACCAATATTGTTAATGTAGGTCAATTACAAATCTCTCAAATCAGGATTTGTAATTTCTCCATAAATTCTTTTGGTTTCTTTTGACACCCAGTTTCCCAAAATCCTTCTCTACAGATAGGTAGAAAAGAGGTCTATAGTATATAGAATAGAGATAGGTCTATATATAGTATACAGCGTGTTTCATAGTTAAGTGGCCAAACTGAAAATATAAATTAAAGAAAAGAAAAAAACCTGTACCACTACAATTCGTGAAGGGTTCAGCACTATTTAGGGAAAGTTTTATTTCAAGGCCAACGGTTGTGCAGGGTGGGGATCGGGCCAGAATCACGCTTAAACGCCAGGTTTTCCCCCTTAATGATGAATTATTTAATTAAGGGTACCCACTTTGTAAAGGCTGGGTGTGTCCCTGGAGGATCTCCGTTCTCCAGGGTCGCCCCACGGCCAATAAAATAGAATAAATAATTTTACTGATTCGAACCTGGGACCTAGAGTGTTGGAGCTAAGTGCCCTACCACTGAGCTACCCCGCTCCTTAAGGAGCTCAAAAACGCAAACGCTTTTAGATATATATGAGATAGCTTAGGAGATATTCACACTTAAAAATTTTCATTGTTATGAATTATTTACGTAATATTAAATTTATATCAAATGTTTAGTGTTGCCCAAATGTGAGACCTAGACGAGTATTGGTCTTGCAAACTCCGTCTTGGTCATGGTCTTGGTCTTGCGCAAGACTCTCGCAACAGTCTTGCTGTTACTTATTAGCTTATTAATATAGAGATATTGCTGTAATTTTTTAGATAAGAGAAAACTAACTAAGCCCGAATGAAAAATTAGAGGAGTTAAAAGCAAAATTATATTGGTTATAGCAATTACTAACATATAGTAACTAAAATTGTCAAGAATTAGTAACTATTTTGCCTTAATTTTTATTTTAAAAATCGATTTTTTTTTACCAGTCCTGGTCTTGGTCTTGCAACACTTAGGTAGCCTTGGTCTTGGTCTTGCGAAGTGCAAGACCAAGACCGATTTTGGGCAACACTACAAATGTTGTTCAAAGTGAAGGTATGTCCACAATGATGGGTAAATATTAGTTATCCCAATCAATGGATTGGCCGTGGATTTGCCAATGGACCAGTGGCTTGGCCTGCACGCTCTCCAGACCTGACAACTGGATTTTTTAGTTTGGAGTGACATCAAACAAAGTCAATGCAAGTCTAGTCAATGACCTTAATTCCTTACGAAGAAGGATAATTGAATATTGTGAATCAATAACACATATCCAGTGCCGTTCTGCCACTGCTGCTGTTGAAGAAAGATGCCGAGCCTGTCTTAATGCTCAGAGAAATCACTTTGAACAGCATTTAATATGGATGTTAATGTTTACATTTTATTAATAAAGTAGTTTGTTTTATTTCACATAACGTAAATAATTCATATCTCCTGAACACATCGTTTGCGGACATACCTTTTTCTTCCTTTTTTAGGTTCCTTCGTTCATTTTTACAGTTTGGCCATTTAACCCTGATATGCCCAGGATAGAGTTATATAGAGGATACAGTAAATCATAAATATTTTAATTCGAATAATGTTTTTGCAGATGATTCTCAGAGATCAGCTGTTCTTTTCAACGTACTAAGAACACTTCACGACCAATACCCATATGACTGTGGTGTCTACGCACCGTTATTTTTCAACCGTTTCACTATGGCCCCCGGTACTGCAATATTCCTCCCATCAGGCACTGTCCATTCATACCTTCTTGGAGGTAATTTTTCAGATATTAGTACTTTTAGTATTTTAGTATACGACTCTTGATTAGGAATTAATTACAGTTGTGTTCGCCCCGTGGTCGAAATTATTATTGAAAATTTTAGGAAAGTATATATGAATTGCCACGTTTACAACATTTATTTTTCTACTCTACTACATTGGTGCCATACACTTTAATATGCACTTATAATTTGAAACGGCTGAGTCCCATTTGTGTACTTTTTCAGTTATTCGCAAATAAAATTCTTATCTACCGTTACTTTTTTTCAACCTCTTTTCGGGTAAGTGTATATATATAATTATGAAAAAAAAAAGGTTTCGGCTGAAGTCCCCCCCCCAAAATTAAATCCGCTAGTGATCAAAGGTTATTCTATTCCATGGTTCTCAATGGTGGTATAGAATTTGATGCAATTATCGTGCAGGAACAGAGTGGTATGTTAGGAAGAGTTTTAAGGTGACTGGAGCCTATCAAAATTGCCTTGGGTATATATGGGCTCAAATGTTTAAAGAACAAAGTTGTTAAGAGGGTGCCACCAAGGAGAAAACTATTTACTGATACACAATGTATATATATATACATATATATATATATATATATATATATATATATATATATATATATATATATATATATATATATATATATATATATATATTTTTCGGTTAGCTCTACAGACCTTTCAGATCTTTGGCCAGCCTTCTCCACCTCTGCCTATCTTGGGCTACTGCTTTCCAGTTCGCGGCATGAAGCTCAGCCGTAAGTTTTATCCTCAGATTTGTTTCGTTTGTCCATTTTTTGAAGCTCAGAATTTGTTTCTGCTATCTATCCATCTGTTCTTTGGCCTCCCACGTGGTCTCTTATCTACTACTCTGGAATTCATTGTTGTGTAAATGTGTTCTGATGGATTGCTACGAGGTAAATGTTCCGCCTATCTTAATCTTCTTGCCTTCATGTCATGAGATATTGACTGACCTATTTCTTTTAACAGTTCCTTATTGTTCCTTCTCCACCATGTGTCAAGGTTCTGATCTAATATAGGTCCTGTTATTTTATGGAGAACTTTTCTTTCGAATCTCTCAATTCTGGCTAGAGCCCAGGTTTCACAACCGTACAACAGAACCGGCTTAATCACGGCGTTGTACACCCTTATTATTAGATTTCTGGAGATTTTTATGGATTTCAGTACCCTTGAAAGAGACAAGAAAGATATGTTTACACTTGTTGTTCGCTGGTCTATCTCAGTCAGTTGATCATTTATTGAAGTTATTGTGGAGCAGAAATATTTCAATCTGTCTACTTTCGGGAATGACTTAAAGTCCACGCAGATCATGTTATTAGGGTGGATGTTTCGGCTATCATATATTTTATTTTATCTACATTGACTTGTAGTCCGATTTGCTCTGCTTCTTTTAACAGAGTCCGAGCGAGTCTCTCAATATCCTCTTGATTACTTCCGAGGACAGCTATATCATCCGCATATGCTAGGATTTTTTGTTTCATCCCGAAGTGCCTCCGTCCATCTTCGTGTGATGTTGTTCTAATTACTTTCTCTAGGGCTAAGTTGAACAGCATGGGCGAGAGTCCATCTCCCTGTCTCAAACTCGTTCGAACTTCAATGGCTTCAGATACTTCTTGTATTAGTACTCTGCATTTAGGATCATTAGGCACCCCTTCGTCAACCTCACCAACTTTCCGGGAACACCTAGCTCAGTCATGATCTTCCAGAGACAGCTTCTGTCCACGGAGTCATAAGCTGCTTTGAAGTCGACAAATAAGGCGTGCACGTCCTGATCTACTTCTCTTCGTTTTCAAGTACTTGTTTTAGGATGAATATCTGATCTAGCGAACTCCTTCCCCTCCTGAATCCTGATTGATGGTCGCCTATTATGTTTTCATAAAACGGATATATCCGATTTAACAAAATATTAGTCATTATTTTATAGGCAACCGGAAAAAGTGATATGCCTCTGTAATTGCCACATTTGTATATGAAGCCCTTCTTAAGGATAGGACAGATCAACCCTGTGTACCAGGCTTCTGGTATCCGTTCCTTCCCTCCTAGCTTCTGATTTAGATCTAACAGCTTGGCTCTGAGGTGTTCTCCCACATCCTTAAACAATTCTGATGGTAGGTTGTCAATCCGAGAAGTCTTTCATCTTTTAAGTCTGCCGATAGCTATTTCCACATTCAGAATATCTGGTTTTTCAACCTCAAGTGGGTCGATGTCCTCAGTGTGGTCCATGTCTTCTTCGTTTGTGGGGAGCTCTTGATTAAGCAGCTGCAGGAAGTGTTTCTTTTCTTTTGATGCCGTCAATTTGCCATCTTTCTCTTGTATTTGTGTATTTCTCGCTATATGCCCTACCCTTTCTTTCTTGATATCTGCGAAGAATTTGCATATGTTTCGAGCCTGCCAGTTTTCTTCAATAGTTTGTAATGTTAAATTTTTTTTAAGATTTAAAAATTTGAGAATTTCTCATTAGTTTGTAATGAGAAATTCCCTTTTTGCTGTTCTTATTATCATGTTTGTCTTTTCCCTGCGACTATGTATTTGTCCAGCATAGCTTGATCAGTTTGTGCTAAGCAGAGGACTTTTCTTCTTTCCTCCACCGTCTTTTCGCATGCTTCTGAGAAAAATTTGTTTGCTTTTCTTTTATCCTGAATCCCTATTACTTCCTTAGCTATTTGTTTTAGCCCAGACTCTAGTGCCTTCCAGTGATGGTCAACCGTGAGGCCTTCGGGTTCAGCTTGTACTATAGGGTTTTTTCAAATTACGGGCTTTGTACATCTTCATTCCCACTTGGAAATAAGGAATCGATATACTTCCAAAGGCCGAGAATCTTGGATCGAAATCTCTCATGCCCTATGAGATCCAATAATTTGGGAGAATCCACTCCACTTGGCTTTTAAACGTGATTGGACGGTGAGAAAGTACTTATTCAAAGGAGTACCCTTTCGGGTTTGTCATCCACTCACGGGTGCCCAGAAGGTAGTTTCATAGCGCAACTTGCGCCAATCAAAATTTTTGAGGAGGGCATTTTTTGACGGATTTTTTAATTTTTGAGGGGGCGAATTCTAATGAAGTTATGAATTTTTGGAATAAAGACAAAGGGAATACATGTTACAGACTGCAGCATGTATAATTGCATATGATCTAAGATTTTCCGAATTTTACCTTAGATTGCTCTCTTTTTAAGAAAATATGAGCATTAAAATATCTTGGAAGAAGGGGAGGGTAGATTCTTGCGCCATCGACCTGGGGGGTGGGCACCCCCTCCTTGCATCCACCTTCGGTTCAACTCATCGTTTCTATTCTCCCGGATAATAGTTTGGTGATGGACACTCAGGAACTGTTTAACGTATGAGATTGATTCTTAGGTGGTTTGGTAAATGTGGTTATTCCTGTTTAGGTATTGTTAAAGTTAACTCAGATGATGTTTAAAAACTTTTGAATTGAATAGGAATGTTTTTGAGATATGATAATGGATAATATGGAAGAATTTTTTACTAAAATACAGCGTTGGACTACGTTTCTATAATTTTATCATGACTGAACATCATGACAGTTAACCATATCAAACTTACACTTGAAACTAATATAAAATGTTCAACCACTGTTGCAGATTGCCTTGAAATATCGACACGTTCGGAGAACATAGTAAGAGTCGGGTTGACAGATTTGTATAAGAACGTGGATGAATTCCTGGAGATCGCCGATTTTACATCGACCAATCCGGAATCTTTTGCTTATCGTCCTACTGTTCTAGACAAATACGTGTTATCTTTCACTCCACCAACAACAGAATTTGGAGTCTTTCGAATATGTGTGAGTTAAAACTTTTACATTACTTTTGAACATTTGAAATCATCTGGGAGGTTGCTCAATGAGTAAGTTACTATACTCTTATGTTCCGGGTTCGAATCCGGCTATGACAGGCAATCATTTATTGTGATAATACAGCCGTGGATCGACTCCGGGATATGGAGCATACCCAGTCTGTATAAGGTTGGTACTCTTAATTAAACAATTAATTAACCGGGAAAACCTTGGCGGTTGAGCATGGTCCTAACCTAAACACCTCCTTGTATGACTTAGTACTGAATCCAAGATATATTTCGTTAAATTATGATATCTATTTTACAGGTCCCCGCAGAGGATGATTACGCCATAAAAGAACGTGAATCGTGCTCAATGCTTCTGGTAACAAGAGGATCAGCCATGTTGGAAGATTCTACAATCATAAAATTAGGAACAACATTGTTCCTACTACCTTATCACACAATAAAATTTAAGGTTAGGAAAGATATTACGATTTATCTTGTCTACCCGAATCCTGATGCTCCTCATGGAGAATTCGGAAATCTTTTTTAAATATAAAAGACATTTTGGCAAAATATACTTTTATTTGTGGTCTATCAATATTTATAATATACGATCAATGGTTGAAGGTATTCAAGAATATCCTACGACACACCAATCTATTCTTGTAAACCTAAGATGGATAGATTGATAGAAAAAATTTTATTCTGGAACAAAGTCCCTTCAGAATAACAAAATTGTACAAAAAGAAAAGACTACTACAGGCCTAAAAGTTTGAAACAATAAATAAAATAAAAAGTAAAGAAAACTTTAAGTGAGCAAGCTATATTCAATACAGATAAAACTATGTACAAAACAGTTAAAACTATGTCCAAAACACATAAAACTATGAACAAAAAACTTAAAACTATATATAATGGTAGAACAGCATAAACATACACTTTAAGAAATGAAGAACGAAAAATAGACAAAATAGAATAAGTTCATTTCATTAAAAAACTTTACTTGTATATATGTATATAACAAAAAAGTTAGTAATAATTGAATAAAATAAAAATATATATTTAAAAAAATATAGATGCATTGAGTGGCGTCGAAAGTAGGAAATACATATACTATCCCTAAGAAACAGTATTATCGCATGATTATATGATTGCTACTCAATACATATATAATGTTAATAGTCAGCAGGTATCTGACTGTTTTTGGAACAGGAATTGGAATAGGAGGTTTTTGAATGTTGATACGGAGGGGGCATGCCGAATTCTGATTGGGTGGGAATTCCAGAACTTGACAGAACACGCTACAAAGGAGATTTGGAATGAGACAGATTTATGAGAAGGGATGTATAGGTCAGAAGGTCGAGATCTTGTGGTGAGGGGATGGATTGAGGACTTAAATTGGAGAAGATTTTAGGCATCAGAAGGACGATGATCGTTAATGATTTGAATATTGTCTTCTTAAGGAGGGAACCACCCTAACGCAGTGTAGTGGTGGGAGACACGTGAGCGTCTCGGGGTACCAATTACAAATCTTACGAAGCTATTTATTAGTCTTTTTAGTCTATGACGGAGCTCCACCGAGAGGCCATCGTACACCACATACAGCTGTAGTCAAAGTGAGGGAAGATAAGAGAAAGAGAGGAAACTAGGAGTCTACGGATATTTTGGGGTAGGAGATGGCGAAAGCGATGGAATAGTTTGAGGGTAGAAATTGCATAACGGGAGATATGAGAGATATGGTGATTCCAGGGTTTGATCCATGAAAAAGCCTAAATTTTTAACAAAGGGGTAGAAGGTGATGGGTGGTTGTTTAGATAGAGCGAAGAGAAGTTGGTGTGGGATCTAAGGAGGGGCTTGGAACCAATGAGAATGGCCTGAGTTTTGGCAGCATTTAGCCTTAATCCATTTAAGTTGGCCCAGGCACTAATTCGATCTAAATCTTCTTGAATTTTGGCAAATGCCACCAATAACTCAGCGGGAGAAAAGGATAAATAGATTTGAGAATCGTCGGAATAAAGGTGGTGGGAACAATGGATGATTGAAACATTTAGGTCATTAATATAAGAGCTGAAAAGAAGAGGAGACATGATTGAACCCTGTGCAACTCCAGAAGATAAATAAATAAATAATAAATAAATAAAGATAAAGGGTATGACGTTCATGAAATTTTTCTTTGAAGCATCAAATGTTTCTTTCTGTAACAGTTTCAAATTCCTATGTCCGGAGTCTAACGAAGTTACCACAAACTAATAAACTGTCGTTTTGAATCATTAATTGGAAACAAGAATATAAATGGAATTCTATAATCACTTTGGCATGAGATTAATCCTTTTACTTTTAATGTTTAAACTTTGGAAATTATATGCTTAATGAAAATAGGACTAAAATTTTATTCCTGTGTCATTTAGAACAATGAAGTAGTTTTTCTTGAGCTTTCTCCATTGTCATTACAGACATTTATTCTTCATTTAAACGATTGCCAACTATTGTTAGTTTTAAAGTAAACTTTTTTTACGATATAATTGTTCAAGAAGGTTTACGATTCATTTGAAGCCTCTCTGCTTCCATGTTTTAGTCAATATTCCTTCCGAAATAGACGACGCTGAAATAGACGTCTGTCACTGTATTTAATGTCGTCAGTGGAAGGACAACTTGTTTTATTTTTCTTTATATACAGATATATCTACTGTACTATACTATATTTACAATAAATAAATACTAATATATACTATAATATACAGATTATTTTTTTTAAGTCAGTCAAAACCACGGCGGCCATAACATCTACCATTATCATCTACCAATTTTTTTATAATCGTAGATTCCACAAAAATATCTTAAAATCCACTTCTTGCTACTAAGCCTACATATTTTTCTTAACACGGCGATGCTTCATCAAATACAAATTTATGTAATAATAGCTCTTATTAATTTCTTCAAATTCCATTCCCAAAGTTTGCATTTGGGTGCATTGATTTTCTTTAAAAATGTAAATTTATATCTTAGAGATTAAAAATCGTAAAAAGCTGAGGAATATCCATTGTAATCGATGCCTAGGATTGTGCTAGAAGGCATTACAGCAGTCAGATAGTCAATTTTTCACATTAAATATTTGTGCGACAAATTATTATAAAATTACCATTTACATTTATTTTGAAAATGACCACGATACTAAATTATTACTTATCTAACTGGTACTTCACATAATTATATCATCAATACGATTTCGATATTAGGCAGAAAATCGATTTGTTGCTACAGATATATTTTTAATATTTCCACCACCCACTCAATATTTGCTAGATAATCGAGTTGAAGTTTGTACCTATTGACTTCAGTTGATTGGAATTCAGTTTTCTTAGAACTCAAATAAATACATCATGTCATCCCACACATAAGTCATGTCGGTTTTTAAATATCTGCCTGTTATGCTGATATTACTAATTTCTCCTTAACAATTGAATTGTGTTCACATATTTTGCATATTTTAGCATTGCACACGCTTTTATTAATCATTTTTTTGTTAGAGAAAGTTATTGTGTGCTGAAATTTCAATTAAAAGGGATCTCTCCAAAAATCAATTAAGCCATGGAAATTTATATACTTTGGAAATTCGATAAAGGAGAAAATGCTGCTTAAACTTATAGAAATATATGGAGAAAGCATCATTGGTGAACGACAGAGATTGTTAAGCGGACACGATCAGTCATGAATGACAGTGATAAGACTGACAAGGGTTGTTTCAATCGTGATGACCCTTAAACGTATCAATCAGACTGACGCTGTTTTAGCTCAGTTGACGTAGAGATAAGCATTGGAAATCTGAAGAAAAATGGAGATATAATGATTACTTCTTAATGCCTAAAAATCTTTTTGATAAAAGTTAGAAAAATATATGTCAACTACGTAGGAAAGTATTGAGAAAATAATAATTTTTTTGAGTAAAATGAAATGACAAATATACAATATCTGGTGTGTCCACTCACACGACTTTCCTAAGTATTTCAAAAAAGTTTTTATATCTTTACATATGTTCATGAAGAAACAAAAATAATTGAACTAGATACATTTTCTGAAAATTTATCAAACATAAGATTTGAGTAAGATTTATTTGATGAACTAAAGCAATGTAAACCGGCTTAAGGTAGATCAGTGTACAAATTTCAATACTTCCTAATATTGATGGTCAAAAACTATTTGCCATAGCTTAGTATTGTCAAACAATAATTTCTATTAAAAGTAGAGGAAATAGTGAAGATTGTGTGATCCGGGCAACAGATTTTCTTACTTTCACTTAGTCATCTTTATTCTCTCATTTATCCCTTTCTGACACCAGGATATGAAACCGTAATCTTACATTGGAAATTGAATAGCTGTAACTTCGTTAATACTTGTCCAAAATGAACGATTTTTATAATATATAATATATAATTAGGGAGTTAGGCCCCATAACATTTTTCTTTTCTTTATAACTTTTTTCCTGAATTTTTTCGGGAATTTAGTCTATATACGAAAATTGAAAGAACAATGATTAGAACATTACAGGAAAGTTTCATCAAAATCGTTAGAGCCGTTTTTGCGCTACAGTCTATAGAAAAACATGTTTTTCATTTATTGAGCGCAAGCTATTGCGCATGGAGCACCGAATTTCTGTCACCGGCATCAGTAGTCAAAACCCTACAAAATAAAAAAAGAAGCAACAAAGTCGGTTCAGTATTACCCGAGAAAATCTTGGCACAGACAGACAGACAGACCAATGGCTAAAAATGTGTTTTTCGGACTCATGGGGCTCTGAAACGGATAGATCCGTCGAAAGCCGCATGTCGGAAATTTGACCCGATTGCAATACTTTCCTTACCTAGTATAGGTAGGAAAGTAACAAGAATTAAAGATTAGTTTTTTGTATTAGTAAATTGTACAGTTTCCACTATCTTTTTAATTTTCACCTTAACTATTTTAAAAAAAAATTGCTTGAAGATCGTTTATAAAAATACAAACTAGGGATATGAAAAACTATTTACTTTTTATTAAGATCAGGAATGTACAATGGTCATCAGGGGTGTTAGGTAAGTTAACCTATTTAGTAGTGAGGTTAATCTTCCTCCCACTTCACGTGATTGAACTTTTTATTTCCCGAAATCCATGAAGGGGACCCTACACGGTCAACCGGAATTGCACTAATGACGTTCCGAATTGTCGTGTAAAGTTGTGAATGAAGTACTGATGGATGTGCGCTGCGGATTGCCGAACATCCGGAAATCAAAGGTTCATTCACGAGAAGTGGAGGGGGCTGAGGTAAAAGTAGTGGGGAGACTAACCATACTGCTGGATAGGTTAGGTTACCTAGGCCTCACAACCATTATAAATTTCTGATTTTCATTATATGTAAATAGTTGAATAATTTTTAATATCCCTTGTTTATAATTTTAAACCATCTTCAACTATTTCTTTTAAATAGTCAAGTGGGCAACAAATTAAAAAAAAAATGAGGAAACTTCACAATTTACTTTAGGAAAAAAAAAACTTTAACGTTGTGTATATTTATCAGTTCTTTTCCCATTTTCCTCAACAAATTTATTATTTTCGCAATACCTTTCCTTAATTTTTGTAAGTAGTAGACTTATATTTTACTAACTTTTGTCAAAACGATTTTATGAGACTAACCTTACTACTAGATAGGTTAGTTTACCTAGGTCTCGTTATTAAGTAAATAATTTCATAAAAGTAAATAGTTGATTATATCCCTAGTCTATATTATTATTAACCATTTTCAACTATTTTTTCTTTAAATAGTCAAGTAGGCAATAAATTGGAGAGAAAAAAAAGTGAAAACTTCACATAAGTAATGATCAGTAACGATTGAACGTGTAAGGGTCTTCATGATCAAAGCGATATCGGGCAATCTTGGAACTTCTTGTGACGTTCATTCATGAATTACCGTGTAGGTTCTGCTTTAAGTTAACTCCTTATCAACTTACATAACCTCGCTGTTTCAGTGAGGTATGATTAGGTTATCATCTATAATCAAACAAGTTATTTGAAAATGTTACAATACATAGTTGCCACAACACAATTATGCGAAATAAATTTATCCAACGTGGAGACATGTAGAATGTTATTTATAAACATGTGAAAAATTAAATTTCTAATATGAAAGTATTTATGTGAATTTTACTTAGTAAGAGTTTAAAATAAAATCGTGAATCATGGAATTGAGTGGCGCGTTGTCAACTCACCCGTGGGGAAAACGTGGTAGTAAAAGTATGGCAGGATACTATTACTGGCATAGGAGGAAAAGAAACCTCCTTGACGAAAATGCTCATTACTCCACCCTCATTTTCAGCGGTAACGCTTCCGCGCGTCCAACTGTTATAGTAGAAACAAAGGAAAATCTAGATTCGTTTATAGAAAAAAATGCTAACGTCATTGGAAAAAATGGTGAACTTTATGCAAATCGTTTACCATTCCAAGTCAAGATTATATGTCTTGAGAGCGGCATGTCATTGGGATGCCATCCTCCTAAGGTAAGGTTTTATCTAATCATTTCGGACTGACAGTGCCTCCAAAACTGAAAAGCTGAATTTCAGAAACAAGCTGAGAGGCTGCACCGGATGTATCCAGGAAGGTACAGTAGTGAGGAACACAAGCCGAAATTATTAATCGCGTTGCATTATCTCCAAGTGATGGCTGGGTTCAGGCAAAGAAGTGAAATTGTATCATTTATATCAGGTGAGTCCTAGTTTGTTAATTATGCGTGACTGGGTGAGAATATTCAAATATATTCCGTGTATTCACTATGAAATACACTTATATGTTTGAACAGGTACAGAAATTTAGGTATCTACGTTCTACGATAACTAGAAAAAACGAAATAGAAGAAGAGATTAAGGTTAGACTGAAGGCGAGAAATGCTTGTTATTTTTCTGTGACAAAACTACTTAGTGAGGCGCCTCTTGTCTCGGAACTTAAAAATTAGAATCTATAAAACAATTATCTTGCCTACAGTTCTTTATGGATGCGAAACATGGCCGCTTACAATAAGGGATGAGGAGCGTCTTAAGGTTTTTGAAAATAAAGTATTGCGTAGAATATTCGGACCGAAGAAGGATGAGTTAACCGGAGATTTCAGACGGTTACACAATGCCGAATTGCGTGAACTGTATTCGGGTAATATAATTGAGGTAATTTCATCGCGGCGAATCAAATGGGCTTGTAAAGTTGTTGGGCTTAGTAACGAGATAATTCCTAAAAGGTTAACATTTGCTGTGCCGAATGGTAAGCGTCCGAGGGATAAACCGAAGCGAAGGTGGGAAGATTGCATTAAAGCCGATCTGAAGGGACTGGGTTTGGACGGCGAACGGTGAAGGGAGGTGTGTAATAAGCGATTGGTGGTGTCGGCATCGAGCCTTCGGGTTCGCTAAGCCTTTTATTATTATTATTATTCACCATGAAATAAAAACAAAACAGATAATGCAGAAGGAATGCTTCATTACTCATCGCTAGCAAAGCCTCCTGATTTAAAAGTCACATTAATTGTTATATTTACGTCTGTCATCGGTAAGTTAAGGATACGACAATCTAATTTTCCGTGACCAATTAAGCAGGGAATCCCCACACATGTTTAATTCATCTGCAATATAAAATCTCGTTTCTATGACTCTAGATTATATCGTTTAATACTAGATTATAATCATAACATAAGTCGAAGTTAACGAGCTTATGCAAAAGAGCACTAACTTATAAACCCAAAGATTGTAGTTTCTAATCACGGTTCGGAATTCTACAGGAATTAGTTAAAATATTTGAATTAATCTTCATTCCCTGCCCCTGGAATATAAGGGCCCGTCAATTTGAAGAGGACAACCCACACCGACACAGTGATGACCCTATCCTGTGCTCTTTAATTAGGAATCGCTATGTAGTTTTGCAGGATATCAGTCGCCTCCCAGATGTTAGGTTCATAAGCGGTATGTTCTAAGGCAAGCAATAGTCCTCCTGAACCTGCTGCCCCTGAGCAGCCATAATTCATAGATCTAGACCGATTTGTCACTCTCAGAGAGTCGGTCGGAAAGACAATGCCAGATTGGTCCCAAAGGGATCAGCTATGAAACTATGGATAGACTTCCGCTGGCCCCAAGAGGACCATGGTCTGTAACAAAGTTAGGTAGAAATACCTTCTCAGCCTATCTCTGCCACCAGAAGCAAAAAACATCTGTAAGAAGATCTGCATGATCTATAGCGCCAACCATAAATAGATTAATTTAAAAAGTATACAATTCTAGGTTATAATCTTAAATCATTGTTCTAGTTGGAGTTCATTTTCATCATATTTCTTCATTTAGTTACAAATCACTTTGTCTTGCATTCTATTGTCATCCAATTATTGAACTGTTAATATCATCATCAAACCTAAAAATTAGAAGTATAAGTACTAATTCTCAATATTTTTCTATTTGATTATATTTTATGTAGTAATTTTCCTTTCTCCATCTTTGTCAATCAGTACACTTATGTATCCTAAAACCCAAGACTCATATTTAAAACGCGGTCCTCCAATATTACTTATGTTCAGGGGCACACATTCTCCCCTTTCCCAAAGTCTGATGGAGCGTGAACCATCCACCCTCTCCAGAAATTGTATTACTCTCCTCTTCTTACAGTGCAAGCGAAAGTAAAATCGTAGATCATATACAATTACACTTGCTTTTGGTCCTCGCCTTTAAGGCTACATACGGGGGTTTTCCTGGGCCAGGGAGTGTGGGCGGGGATTTAAAAACTCCTCCGGGCACCGGGATGCGAACTCGTGACTATTTTTTTATCAAAGTCTTATGTATCAGGTTGCCGAGCAACGGCGGTGCAGTGCACACGCGTTAGCCCATTCGGCCACTCCGCCCATAAAAATAATTCGCAGTCGGTAGGACTCGAACCTACGCTCCCAGAGGGAATCTGATTTCTAGTCAGACGCCTTAACCACTCGGCCACGAATGCTCAGCACAATTACACTTGCTATGGTATGTCTCCTGTTTTCCCCTAGTTCTCTATTTGAAACTTTTCACTGTGAAAATTCATAACCCTGTCGAAATGTGCCCTCCTCTACTTCTTCTTCTTTAGCTTACCTCTTTAGTGCCTCTCAGCGTAGAGGAGCATTCAGCCAGGAATTTCATTCTTCCCTATTTCTAGCTAGGTTCCTCGCTTGTCGGAGATGGGTCATCCCGGGGCAGCCCCTAGGTCTTCTGCCATCTGGGAAATATTCCATGGTCTTTAGATGATCTTTGTGGTCGTCCGTCCTGATAACATGGCCGAACCACTTCAGTTGACGATTTTCTAGCAGCTCTTTCAGTGGGGCTATCTGCAGTTCCTGAAGAATCCTTTCATTGCGAACTCGGTCTCTCGGTTAATCCTGTTAGATATTTTTGCGTCTACCCTCCCAGATCTGTCTACCACTGTACTCAGGTATGTGAAGTCTGTCACCACTTCTAATTATTCTCCATTACAGTATGTGTGGTTATCTTCCTTCTTTCTTCCAACCTGTAGGAGCTTATTTTTGTTGGTATTTTTAAGCATCCCTTTTTGCTGGAGCTCTTCGTGCAATTCCATAAATGGCAGTTGCAACTTTTCCACTGAGTCCGTAATCAATACCACGTCGTCGGCGTAGAGGAGAAGCTGCATCACTACAGGATTAAGATTCCTGCACCCCAGGGATGTCCTGTCCGTTCTTCTCTTACAAATGAATGCCACTTCATCTATGAACAACAAGAATAACCAAGGGTTTAGGCTTTATCCTTGTTTGCCCGCCTGAAATATTGAAATAATTTTATTCTAGCCCGTTTAGCCTGGCTATTCCCTTGGGCTTTTGATATATATGTTCAATCGCCTCTATCAGGTTTCTCGGAACGTTCTTTGCTCTTAGAGCATCCCATACTTCATTTCCTGAAACCGAGTCAAAGGCAGATTTGAGGTCAAAGAAAGCCAGGTACAGGTAATTATATCAAAAATAATATGATTCATTTTAATTCCATTGATAGGTATACCAGAACTGGCGATCGTAATACCTTACGCAACTATTGAGGATTATCTTTGCTCTGGGAACACACTTCACCTTAAACGAATGTTCTATTTCTTGATGTCTGCATCTCATCAAGAAATAAAGACGTCTCTTGACATATTTTTTGCAAGGATGAATGATGCAGGTAAGCCATCCTAAGTTAAGGTAATTATGTATTCATAGCGTTGCTGTTGACAATAACGTATTTTACAGTTCAATGAAATCTCCAAATATTAATGCTTGTAATAAAATATGTATCATAGTTTAAACAAAGTCTAGGTGTTTTTTTTTTCTCTGTTCTCCCCTACCTCCCCTTTTTAGGCTATACGGGGGTTTTGCCGTGCCAGGGAGAGGGGGGGGGGGAGACGGGGAATTTAAAAAAACCCAGCAATGTTATTGTCTCCAACATTGGTTATCAGGTACTGTGCACAAACGTTAGCCCGTTCGCCCACCTCGCTCTCTAAAGTCTAGGTGTTATGTATGCCTATTTAGTTCAATTTAGTTTCAGTTTTATATATTGATAAGAATAGATTTAAACACGCCTTCACACTTCTATCCATTTATTTTCTTAATGTGGCGTTTTTATTGTACAATAACCGTTTTCTATTATCAAACATTTAACTTTTACATTGTTATATTATCACTATATCTCGTACATCTATAAATAGGAAGAAGAATGAAAACGTGTTATTGACTGAAACGACTAGAAACCGCCCGACGTTTTCGACTACTGCAGCACTTACTAGACAAACGATCTTAGCTTTCAATGAATTATAAACGACTCGTATATATGACAATAATAACACCTATTCGGACTTACGGAATTGAGTTTTGGGGCTCCACTAAACCATCGAATTCCTCTCGTATCCAATCCTTACAATCCAAAATCCTTCGTAAAATCCTCAACGCTCCTTACTTTGTCACAAATAAAATCATCCATAAATACCTTAATGTTCCATATGTTTCCGATTTGGCCCAATCCAGATACCTGTCCTTCCATAACAAACTGCAGAACCATCCGAATCCTCTCGTTTCAAACCTTGCTTCCTCCTCAATCCCTGATAACCCTCCGAGGCGTCTGAAAAGAAGATGGCCTCGGGATCTTCTAATATAGAACTTTAATTTGAGTTCTACCAGTGGGTAGTTTCTCTTCATGTTGTACATGCCAAAAATTATTCTTTTAAGTATATACAATTTTAATATAACTTGTGTCTAACGGGAGGATACAATCTATCGATAGTCACTAGGACTATCGATATGGCTATCGATAGTTTAAACCTATCGATACATCGATAATACTACTGACAATCGCACATCCCTAAATCTCAATTTACTTGACACCACAGGCGGATCTAGAGCAGGAAGGGTGACTTTCGAACTGAAGCCTCTCTCTTCTCCCCCAAAATGGTAAAATATAACCATGTCTTATGAAAAAAATATTTCAAAATTACCTCTAAAAGTATTATTGTTAGTGTAATTACATTTAATAGTACTTAAAGAGCCACTTAAACTCTATTTCATATAGGTAGTTCAGTGCCTTTATTTTTCTTTCTATGTAATTACCGTTATATATTTTTAAAAATCATTCGAGCTGAAACTAAAAAACTAAATCCTAAATCCTAGATCCGCTAGTGCTTGACACGTACCTATATATACAATTTCCTTTCTATATATATATATATATATATATATATATATATATATATATATATATATATATATATACTTCTGTTTTGAAAATCAACAATTCATTAGGTTAAAGTTTTCTTATATATTTTGCAAACTTCTAGGAATGTTAACTTTTCGCTAGAATCTAGCATATCGTTACTAAATTCGTCACAAATTTCTGTCCATTGTTGCTTGATTCAATCTATTGATGGATTCGTTCGATGGAATTAGCACTGAGTCGAGGAGCTTGCCCTATAATTACATTACCTAAAAATTCATTCCATTAAACTATTTAACAACATACACTAATTGTAAGTTTATAATGAGTAAATTATGTGTTTTATTATTTGTATAATTTTACAACAAAAAAAATATATTTCAGATAGCACGGCAAAAGCACTCGTTAATTACAACGTTTTAAAAACACTTTTCGAACAATTCTCTTATGACTGTGGAGTATATGCACCATTATTTTTAAACCATATATTTTTGAATCCAGGTCAAGCAATGTTCATACCATCAGGAATTGTACACACGTGCCTTCATGGAGGTAATTATTAAACCATCAACTTGAAAACAAATATAATTCGTGCACAGTTAGAATGGGAAATGAGGATTATAAAATTACATATATAATATTTATAATTATAGATAAACATAAAATAGTGCAATATATATGGATCGTTTAAATCCTAGTGGTTGTAAGCCTTTAATTTAAAAAAAAAAATTCGGTGACATTTGAGCATCAACATTTTATTTTTAAAAAAGTAGAAAAATACTATATTTTCGACTCTTTCGCATTTTTTCTAACATTAGCTCACATCAACGAAACCATAGGCACGTCATTTTGAAAAGAAAAATCATTATTTTTTCTCTTTAATTATAACTCTTCTTCTTTTTCTTCCATCCATTTGCCTTTCATTGTGGGGGTGCTTCTAACCACCTGTACCATTAGTTTCTTTCTCTGGCAAGGTTTCTCATTTCTTCCTGGTTGTTCCGTTTGCGTCTCCCTATTCGTTCTATGTGGTTGAAGTAGTAGGTTCTTGGACATCCTCTTGGTTTTTTCCCCAACGGTCTGACTTCCATAATTTATTGGGTTTCTGTGGTGATTCATTCGACAGACAAGCCCATACCACCTCAGTTGCCTCTTCTTTAGGGTTTCCGTTAGCGGAGGTACATTCAGCTCTTCCCTAATCCTCTCATTCAGAACATAGTCTCTGCCTGTTTTCTTAACGATTCTTCTAAGGAACTTCATTTCCGAGAATTAGTAGTCTCCCATTCATAATCCACTCCATAGAGAAGTACTGGTAGGAAGATGCCCTTGAATAAATAAAGCTTTACATCTTGCCCACTTCTTACTTTCCGAAAATCGAATTACGCAGCTCTGGTAGTAAAAGGAGTTTGCCTTAGATATTGTTCTTGGGATTTCTGAATCTACTTTGAAAGATCTTCTGATCACCGTGCCAAGATATGTTGAATACGTTCCATCAACTCACCACTTCAGACATCTTCTTGAAATCTACTAACTTGGAAGACTTTATTTTTTTTTGGAATTAATAGTCATTCCCTTTATCTTCAGTTCCTCATTCTACTCCGTTACTACATGTTGAAGTCGCTCTGAGGATTCGCCAATAAGAACGATATAGCATGCAAATAGTAGAAACTGTATATCTACAGAGTTCCATTGTCCGATGTGCATTCCGGCTATACTTCTTTTGTAAATACAGACAATCTCATGTATATATACAATGAATGAATTATAATGTATGCTCATGTTTAAGTTGTTATTTTGATTAGTTTAGTTCGTTTGTTTAGAAAAGAAGAATAAGTAGAAGAAAAAGTCTTTTCATTTATCCAAATTACATAATATTAATTACAAAACAAAACAAAAACAATATTTTTGGATTTAAACCGAAAATCAGACATGCTACATGGTCTGTTGAACATTAGAGGAGTCGGTTGTAAATAACCTGTTAAGAGTTAATATTAAATAATTAGTTTTTGGCGGACAATTGCGAAATAGCCTTCCGCTTTAGTTGGGGAACTAGGTTATTTACACTCTTCATTATTAAAACGAAACCCCGTCACTGGATATAGACTTTTTGAGGGTGTTTAACTGTCGTTGGGAATTCGGGAATCTAATACCTTTTGCGACACTGAGTGAGTAGAAACAATAAGAATATATATATGAAATGTGGGACTTAGTAAATACACTTTAAATGAATTGACTCACCTGGTTTGTTATTCTTCAGTTGTGAGGCATATAGGACAACTAAATAAAATGATTTTTCACTCATAATGAAACAATTTATTTTACCACTGTAATAAACGAATGTATAAAAGTCTTATAACTGCAGGCTTGATATTCTTAGTCTTCAATCTAGTAGGCCTCTCTTCCCAGATGACGTCTTTTCGTCTTCGTGTCCAGGCCTCAAGTGCCTGGCGTCCTCTTCCAGCTGCTGCTACCTGATCGGACCTTTTTCCTTCTTCATCGATTGTTTATCGATATGAGATTTTTCAATGAACAATTTGTCCACCGCACAATTGAGTACAATTCACAGTGCCACCTCACATTTCTATATATTATATATCCCTTCTCATTCCCTCACACACTGTCACATCAAGGAGTAAATACCAGGGGATGTCTACTACACTGTGTTTCATAATAAAATTACATTCCAATCTATTTATATACAATTAATTAATGAGAAAATAAGACCAATTATATTTACAATGTAAAAGTTATATAAATATCTTAATAACAAAAAGAGCACCAATTTGTTTATATTCATTTACTTTTATTATTATTATTTTTCTGTATTATTTATTGTAAATAGGGTGTGAATTTGCTCTGTGAACACTATTAAATGTCCTTAATTGTGACAGTAAATAAATACAATCACGGTTTTATGAAGGAAATAATAATCGCTCTCTAATTAGATAAGATATAATTGCAATATATTTCTCTATAAAGCAACAGAATATAAGTATTACATATTGATATAAATAATAACACAATAAAAATAATTTTAAAACAAATCGAAACTTCATTCATAATTTAATTTTGAATACGTCAGCAAAAATAATGCACGAGGTAAGAGGCTGGTCGATCCTCGTACCTCGTACAATACGTCATAACCTCGTAAAAATACGAGGAACCTCATACAAACGCCAACACTGCTCCTGATTAAGACAAACTGTTAATACACCATGTGCTTAAAAACGTTATTCCAGATTGCTTTGAAGTGACGACAAGCTCACGAAACATTATAAGATGTGGCTTGACAGATAAGTATAAGGACATTGACGAATTCCTATATATCGCTGATTTTAATGCCAGCAGCGTGGAAAAATTGATTTTGGAGCCTAACCACCTCGACGAATTCGAGATGTCATACGTTCCCCCTGCCAAAGAAATGCAAGTCAGTCGGATATGCGTAAGTTCACTCTTTGACATTTTATTATCTACCAAAATTAAGCTACACCATTATACACAATTGAAAAAGGAAATTTAATTGTATAACTTTGAGTTTGGTACTGGTGCAACGTTCTCATCACGCAACTTTTACTGAAGATCATATTTAAATGACGTTCACTTTAAAATTAAATATTAGTCCGTGGCACAGACTCCATTTTATCGCATTATCAACATCCGCCTGACACTTCGTAAATAGATTCATCTCATCGTAACCTACAACTATTTTATTTACCAAAACTCTTAGAATAGGTAAGTTTTCCATCTGGAGGAGAGCAAACTTTGTCTATTTAATTAAGTATTAAAAACTCTTAAATACCCATTTGATTTATACTTTGATCGTACGATAATTTGATAACAAAATCGATAAAAAAAGGTGGCCTACAAAAATATTGGGCCGTTTGTCCTGTATGATTTCGTTATTTTGAAAATTTGAAGGTTTAGGTCACGCCAAACGGCACAATATTTTCTAAGGCCACCTATTTTCTCGATTCTGTTATCTAATTATCTTGCGATCTAAGTAGAAAGGACATGGGTATTTACGAATTTTTAGTACCTAATTAAATAGACAAAGTTTGTTCCCCTCCAGATTGAAAAGGCCCCAAATCCAAGATATTTTGTAAATAAGATAGTTGAAGGTTATGATGAGATGAAACTATTAACGAAGTTTAAAGTTAATAATTCGATAAAAATGGGTCTGTACCACGGACTATATCTTTAAAGGATGAAATTTTGAAACTTTGACACATAAGCTCTGTCAGACCTCTGTCATTCCATTAATCGACCAAATCCAGCACCGAAGGATAGCGATTTAGGCTCATTTTTGGAACGCCAGGGAAAGGTTAATAAACATGTGAAAAATAAAAATATATATATAAAGAAATACTGAATACTGAATTATTGAATTTAAAAACAGGACAAATTGCTAAGCTAATCGTTTCTCCCAGTTTGGAGATGAACCCTTAGCCATCGATGAGCTAAGCGCTGATTTTAAGAACTTATCCATATAAATAGAAAATAAACTGAATATAAATATGTAAAGTAATATAAGATATAGATATAACAACATTGAGGATACCAGCGGATCCTTCGACCACAAAAGTTGTTGGAACCGCTGATCCGTCATACGTTAAAGCACTTAATTCCACCGGTGGTTTCCATCGATGAGTTTAGCTTGTTCAAATATTTATATTTTTGTGGGAAATAATATTTGCCGAATTTTTAAAAAATTATTATCTCAGGATTCGACCAATTTCATTAAATCCCAATTAATTCTGCAGTCAATGTCATTGTTAATATCCCTTTTGTAAAAAATAACAATATGATGATTTTTTTTCCCATAGAATTATTATCGAATATTATACTATTGTTTTAAATATGCACTTAAAAAAACTACGTTGTCAGATATTTAGTAATGGGAAATACACCTTATATAACGAATATGGTACAAAACTGAGTAGGAACATAAAACCATAATGCTTTCAAAAATAGGAATATTACAAACTAATATTACTTAATGAAAAAAAAGGATAAGTTCCTATATTCAACGCTAATTATATCGATGAATTCCATCAATCTGCAAAATCCAGGACCTAAGGACAGCGATTTAGGCTGAGTTTTGGAACGATTTGATAGATTCCAGCGGAAGATTAATAAACATATGAAAAATAAAAAATATTTGTAAAGAAATACTGAATACTGAGTTATTGACAAATTGCTAAACTAATCGCTTCGTCCAGTTTGCTGCAGCTCAGCGCTGATTTTAAGAACTTATTCATATAAATAGAAAATAAACTGAATATAAATATGTAAAGTAATAAAAGCGAATCCTCCGCTGGTTTCCATCGATGAGTCAAAGAAGTTGTCCAAATATTTATATTTTTGTGGAAAATAATATTTGCCAAATTTCTTAAAACTATTATCTCAGGATTCGACCAATTTTATTTAATCCCAATTAATTCTGTAGTCAATGTCATTGTTAATGTCCCTTTCATTAAAAATAACAATATGATGATTTTTTTTATTTTCCCTAGAATTATTATCGAATAGTATACTATTGTTTTAAATATGTACTTTGTTTAAAAAATACGTTGTCAGATATTTAGTAATGGGGAATAGACCTTATGTAGTAATTTTAGAACGAAACTGATATATTTTAATGCAAAATTAAAAAAGATCCTGCAGGCATTTGTATTTTTAATTTAGTATTCAAGATCGTACTATAGATCTGTTGAGAATTCTATGAAACAGAAAAAAAAGGAGAAATCATAAAAATCCGAGCCCTAATTATCATGTTATATTGATCTCCGTCAACCACTCCCCCCTCCCTTCATATATCCTAAATATCAGCGCCTATGCTCTAAAAACTAATATCGTACGATTTTATTTATATTCGATTTCTATTTTTGATACATATTTCATTGTATGCTTTACAGGTTCCAGTAGACATGACCTATACTATTAAAGAAAAGGAATGGTGTTCGATTGCTATGGTTACAAGAGGAATAGCCATTTTGGATGATTTCAGGCAGATTTCGTTAGGAACAGCCTTGTTCATACTTCCTTATCAAAAATTGACATTTAAGGTTAAGAAAGATATAACGATTTATGTTGTCTTTCCGAATCCTGACAATGAGTTTTGTGATAGCCATTATTGCCATACTTAATATTAAACATTTCCAATTAATATGATTTTATTTTATCTATCATTTGTATATGAAAGGTTTGTTAGAATAAGTCTTTTGACTTGAGTCAAACTGTTTGCGAGGTACAGGTTTTGGAATTATATCTTATATATTATAACTAATGGTTTGTTGGGCGATAGTCGATAGTTTCCACTATCGATAGTTCGATAGTATCGCAAAAAACTGTCGATAGTATTGATAGTCCAGTAACTTCCCAACATAAACTTACAGAAGATTTTGTTTTCGCCGTATTCTTTGGTTAATTACTTTAAAATGCTGTTAATAAACTTTAATTTAATTTATAATAAATATCAATTATATTGGATATATCCTTAAAGATTTATGTTAAGGCACTAATAAAAGTTATTAAATAAACAATTTAAAAAATCATTGAAGAGAAAATACATAAGCGATAAATGCTTATGTCTTTTAATTTCCAAGATTCTAATTTTCTAAAATACCACTTAGTTTAAAATAAAATGAAACTGTATTGACATCACTGTAGATTTTATAAATATATTTGTTTTATGAAAAACTAAATAAAAATGTGAGGTAAATGTAACATTTTTTTTTGTCACCGGCACAACTGGAGGTGTAATAATATTTCTAAGAAAGGGATTTGAGATTAAATTTATTTTTATGAAGGCTTCTCCTGGTTCAATTTTTTTTTTTTCAGTTTTATAAATTGATAAGAATAGCTTTAAACACACCTCCATCCATACATTTACTTAATGTGGCGTTTCCATTGTACAATAACAATTTTCCATAACCAAACTTTTTACAATTTTTATATTATTATATTATCACTATATCTCGTTCATGAATGAATGGATATAAGTTTGAAGGCGTGTTATTAAAATTATTTTTTAAGTATATACAATTTTAAAATAATTGATGTCAAAGGGGATGATATCTAAAGTCACTAGGAATATCGATAGGGATATCGTTAGTTTTAAACAATCGATAGGGCTATAGATAGTCTTAAACAATCGATGTATCGATAGTACTATCGACCATTCCTAATTTTTACTAAAGTTTCGTTTTTATCATGTCATCCTATAAGTAATATCTGCAATTAATTGTATATGTTAATATTAATTTAATTAACTTAAACAATAATAGTTAAACTTTTAACAAAAACCTGGAACTTTAAAACAAAAAAGGATCCTTAGAACTTTTAATTTTTGAAATTTTTCCTAAAAAGTTTCGCAGAAACCGTTGAAAAGGAACTTTTTAAAAGTTTCAGCACCCGATTTTAATGGAAAATGACTCAATATTTCAATGATGAGATGTTTTAATTTTCTTTGCATATATACTAATTTGAAAACAATGGTTCTGTAGATGGGAATGTGGTAGCACCGAAACGTTAAAACATTAGCTATCACGTGGATTGTTAATAAATGATATTGAACAAAATTATGAAAGTATTTTAAAATTCCTTGGTAGGGCTCATAGTGCCTTCCTAACAAACTTTAAAATGTAGCAAGAGAGAACACGTAATTGGCTATGAAAAAAAAATCTATCGATAATTTTATCTTTCAAGTAGCAATGGCAAATAAAATTTGATGTTTTTTTTTCAAGTGTTTTTCGCTTCAAATCTTAAACTCAAATATAGAAAAAAAAATATGCGATTAAGAGTAAAATATAAAGTTCAGTTTATTTTATTATGAAATAAAGTAGATAAATACGAACACGTTTAATAACAATTTATTCAGTATAAATATTTATATGAAGACAATGACATGTGTATTCATAATTATTAATTTATGCTGATTTCAAAATTACCACTTCAATCTCAACACTTTTTATTAACTAAATTGAATAACAATTTTCAAACAAAATTCAATTTCATTAAATAATAAAGTATGGTAGCGTTTTGCCCTTATTTATTTTGGTAATACAAAATTTATGAAAAATTATAGTAAAATTTAAGATTTATCTGTTTTATTTATTCATTTACATATTTATAAATATAACAATGAATAAGAAGACTTTTTTATATATAATGTATAAAGTAGAATCTAATTAAAAATATTTGAATATTTCAATCTCTTGAAAACAGTCACTGAGAAATACCGAATTCTCCTTCTTTCTTTATTTTATATTTTTTCTTGTCGTCTCCTACAAACAACAATTGGCTGTATGTTTGCTAAAAATGGTGTGGTATCGATATTTGTTACTTTCACTTACCTATGTAGGTTTGTAATATATAGTAAGGGAAAGTATTGCGATCGTAAAAATATTTTCGAATCTTAGTTTTCAACGGAAATACACGTTTTGCGATCTCCTGAGTCCAAATTACCAAGTCACCCAAGATGATATATGTGTGTGTGTATGTAATACATATAAACACTGTGTATGTATTTGAACTATCTAGCTCAAAAATAGTTGATTATTTATTACAATCAAATAAGATAAATAATATATTATATCATAATAGAGATAATAAACTGAACTACTCCTTATGTATAGGATTATATCCCCCCCCACTCCACTCCCTTGCATTGAATACTGTTATCGCGTACCTTACATTAATTTTGCAGCAACGGATTTGGAAACCTTTTAAGTACAATCAACCATGCGCACATAAAGTTTTCTTTTCTTCATAACTTCCTTTAGGTTACCAATCTTTTCTAACCAGAGTGAGAAAATTCATTCCGTGGCTCTGTGGACCAGAAATCCAAGCTAGCGGGAGAAAAGTTGGAATAAAGAAATGGAATGAAATAAATGGCCGAGTTTTCGAAGTACTTTACTGAAGATGAGTATGTTAAAAAATCCTTCATCGTGCCTGCTACTTTTTTTTGGAATTCCCTACCTATCTCTATACGCAAATCCTCTTCCTTAATCTCATTTAAACAACATTTATTCTCCTTAGCAACCAATCTTCCGAATACATGTCAGGATAAAATGTCGTATTAAAGAGCTGTCACTCTCATTCGACTGTTATGTTTCTGTTACTTACATATCGTGAATATTGTTAATCAGAATGTGTTTATCAATATGTTTACTTGTACGTAAATTGTTTGAATTATAAGGTTAGATTATTATGTTGTGTTAGCAGAAAAAGGACTTTTCAGTTTCGATAAATAATTGCTTTATTTCAAATTTATCTAAATTTTCGCCTCTTCAGGCATCATCAGAGATAACCTGATTTTACATGTAATTCAAAAATTTCATCTGGAAAAACATATACAAACATCTTTCAGAGAATTTACCTTAGATATTAGATCATTTTTGAAACCTTAAAAGCATTATTCACCAATCAACTATATATATATATATATATATATATATATATATATATATATATATATATATATATATATATATATATATATATATATATATACATATAAAGAAGAGAAGAATAGTTGGGGTGGTCAGTCAAAAAAGAAGGCAAAAATAAATGATAATATTTATTTTTACAAAATAAAATAAATATTATCATTTATTTTTGCCTTCTTTTTTGACTGACCACCCTAACTATTCTTCTCTTCATTATCCACGACAGTCAACCATTTACCAATTATGTTTCTGTTACTTACATATCGTCAATATTGTTAATCAGATTTTGTTTATCAATATGTTTACTTGTACGTAAATTGTTTGAATTATAAGGTTAAATTATTATGTTGTGTTAGCAGAAAAAGGACTTTTCAGTTTCGATAAATAATTGCTTTATTTCAAATTTATCTAAATTTTCGCCTCTTCAGGCATCATCAGGGATAATCTGATTTTACATGTAATTCAAAAATTTCATCTGGAAAAACATATACAAAAATCTTTCAGAGAATTAGCTTTGACATTAGACCATTTTTGAAACCTTAAAAACATTATTCACCAATCAACAATATATATATATTATATATATATAACAATATATATATATATATATATATATATATATATATATATATATATATATATATATATATATATAGTTGTGTTAGCCAAAGTTGTTCTTATTGTTTTTTATTTTTTATAGTGTCAGGCAATTTTTATCTTTTTGTGCATTATAATTATTTTAAGGGGACTAAATGTCCCAGAATAAAATTTATTTTTCTTCTTCTTCTTCTTTTATCTAACAAGTAAAAAAAAAATATATATATATATATATATAACAACTATAAAAACATATAAACAAATTATGAAGAGAGGGATGTTGGGGGGAGGGGAGTGATCAATCAGAAATAAGAAGGCAAAAATAAATAATAATATTTATTTTAACATTTGCCAAAATAAATAACATTTGTCAAAATAAAGATTATTATTTATTTTTGCCTTTTTATTTCTGACTGATCACTCCAACCATCCTTCTCTTCATTATTCATGACAGTCAACCATTATCCCACAATTATAAACAAATTAATTTTGAATATTCAATATTATATTTGTTCGTTTCATAATAATTATTATTTTTATACACAATAAATACTCCCCGTATTTTTTTTTCAATCCTTCCTTCCCTCCCCCCTCCCCCCAATTAAAATCGAAAGTGCGCCTATGATGAATGGTGCAACATGTACAAACAGAAAAAAGATTCTATGTTTGGAGATAAAATCTATGAATGGCTTTTAAATTTACATAGTAATAAAACTCGTTTTTAGTCAAGCACTTATTTTAAAACAATCAAGAATCTATAATATCTTTTTTAAAAAACAATGATTCTGGTAATGTTAGGAGTAACGAATGGGCAATTATTTTTGCTTCACCGAAGATAATCAATTAAATATATTTGTCCTTCAATTAATTATTTATACACTGTACAATTAGCTACTACTTGTGCGAATTTTTCGATAGCCATTAAACAAGTATTAAGTATATTAAAAATAAAATTATATTACACTCTTTCTTTCCTAAGATAACGCTTATCAATAAGCACGAACAAATTTTTGATAAGAAAAGATATAAAAAGTAATGAAACTTCAAAATAAGTGCCAAATATCTGATATGTTCAAGAAGCGATATGAATCGAGTCAATAAATAATTTATATCATATTTC